TGTATAATAATTGTAATTAACAAAATGTTAATTTTTTAAAACAATTTTTATAAATTTTCTTCCTCGAATCATACACCTTTTTTTTCTCCAAGTTGAACCCCGATATTTTTGTTTAAAAAAACGGGTATTGAAGTTTAATTCTTTTTCTAAAAGTGACCTTTCCTTTTTATTCTTATTTTATATTATCTATTGTTTTTTAGTTACTATCGAAATGATCAGTGATTTTTGGAAATAGCTGCTATAAATAAAGAATTTCTTATTATTTTTTTTTAATATTGGTTTGGATACTACGGTTGGAACATAAAATATAGCTTTTATGAAAATTTGTCAATGATGATTAAGATTCATTTAACAAAATAAACGAATCGTATCATGTGTGAATATATATTTTATATAATATTTGTATTTTTAGCAACCCCTAAAACTTTATTTTTATAATACTATTTACAATCCTTTGAACTCAATGGTCTCGGTACGGTACCTTGGGTCCGATAACGGGCTATCTCCCAAAAAGGCTTTGGATGTAATAAATAGATCTTTGTTGGAATTATTAAAACAAGAATTACAGCTAAATAAAGTTATCGGTTGAGGATAAATCCTTCTCCTTAAACGTATTTTTATCAGTTTTCTGTAATTATTTTATTGACATTTTAAAGAAGTGAAAAAATAAGTGTTAAAATCCGTTTTGTTTTAAAATTTATTAAAAATTATTAACATCCAGTTTCATGTCCCTTCATGAAAATTACTTTGGATGTTTTACTCTTACACGATATCAGTTCGTTAAAAAATTATGAAATACCTCCTATATTTTAATAATTACGGTAAGTACAGCAGTGTTGGACGTAGCTGAGTAAATGTTTGTCTTTTTTTGCTTATGCCGCTGTAATTATTATAGTTATAAACTTTTCGATTTAGAATATCTAGGGTCTCCTTTTTCTATTCAGCACTTTAAAATTGAAAAAAATGTTCAGTTATGCAGGTATAATTTCCATGTATTGGTATATTGGCTAATATGCCCATGCATAAAGCCGCAAAAATAAAAGATCTCCATTTAAAAAAAAAACACTTTTTTGATGGACTCTCCGAACTTCAATTGTTCTACTAATAGACACGGGGTCGGTACCAGTAATGGACATACCTCAGAAAATTTTTAAATTTTCATACAACTGTAAGGATAACGATAAAGTAAGATAAGATAAATTTTCAACTTATTCTTAGCAAAACTTTTAGTAGGAAGATATGGGACACACTGATCTCAAGAGCACTATAGAAACAACAATGATAGGCATTTTAAAATTTTCTTTTGGAGAACTTAGTTCATACAGTTGTCAATAGAGAGCACTGTTCCTCAATCGAGAAAAAATTGGAAACTTTAAATAAACTAGAAAGCTTATTACTTACATTTAAAGTCCAATGTGTCCATAACTGGTGCATTCCCTCTACCTGATAATTTTTCAAATCCACAGATGTTTCAACGATGGTTTGGAATTTTCCGAAATGATGTAAATGAAACGAAAGACACGAGCAAATGAGGTTTCATACTCCATGTGTGAGACAGTCATTGAATAGATAATGAACAGGGATTTCGAGATCAGAGATGAACCTAGATAGAAAGACTAAATTATAGAGCTAAGAACATCAACACTCAATACCTCCGTAGTAATGTTCCGGAAACTGTTGATACAATAAGGGCTCTACTAGTGAGAGAAACTCTTTATGTCATCACAGAGGACGATTTCCTACAGCTAGACAATGTTATAAATTATATAAGTTCAAACAAAATTTAATTTTCCTTTGCTTTGCCCGGATTTTTAGATTACTATATATAAACTGTTATAGTGATAACTTTGAAACAGCTTCACTAATCCACACAAAAAAAAAGAATAGGGATTTAGGCCTCTGTGTACTTCGCGAAATGGCATAAACCCGATCTTCCTGAAAATTAAAACTAAAGAAATAAAATAAAAATGAAACCCAAAAATGATAGGTATCTGTTGGAAGAACAGTAATTCAGCTTTCCAACGGTTATGTTAATGTTTAATTTGATCCTGAGGAATTTTGAATGCTTTAGTTGACGGCCGAAATTTTTTTTTAAAGCATATTTATTGAAATTTACAACTGTATTGCATGACAATACAACAAGAAGATCTGATATCAGTGACATGACATGAAGAGAAACTACCCATTGGTAGCACTCCAACTATAATTCTATATTAGAAGATCCCGAGGATCTCTTCTTTTCAGACGCCTCGGAGGGTTGTCAGGAATAGAAGAGGAAGGTTAGAAACAAGAGGGTTCGGGTGGTTCAGAAGTTTATTATGGAAGGACAGGTATCTGGAATGAGCTAAATCGGAAACATATGGTACATTAAGGTCGTTATGGATGATTTTATTTGTGACAAAGTAAGATGCATTGAGGATTTTATGAAGGATTTTAGATTGTAAAGATTGGATATGAGAGGAATTTGATGGTTTAGTGGAGCCCCAAAGCTCGGTCCCATAAGTCCAGATGGGCCTTATTGTAGTAATATATACCAGTCTTTTGTAAATAATTGGAAGTTTACAGCGTTTGTATAGTAAGTGCTGTATTAGTCGAAAACGTCGAGCAGTTTCTAGTCATTTCAGAAAGTTATGACGATTCCAAGTGAGTCGTTTGCTCAGATGGAGTCCTTGGTATCGAATTTGTTCAACGGAAATAAGTGGAGTATTGTTAAAGGATGCATTAGGACAGGAAGTCGTAGGTTTACGACGAAAGGTAAAAGTAATTTGATAGGATTTATTGGAATTTATTTTAATCCTCCAGTTTTGACACCATTTTTCAAGACTTGTGATGTGTGATTGAAGAGTTTGGGATGCAATAGAGGGATCGTTATTGACTGATAGGATACATGTGTCATCGGTATAGGTTGTGATGACAGTGTTGGAATGTTAAATAACTGCATAAGCTGTGTAAAGGATAGGACCTAGGATACTACCTTGAGGAACACCAGCAAACTGAGAAAAAAGATATGAATAAACATTTTTATGATATACTTTGACTTCCTATCAGTAAGGTAGGAACTGATGATGAGAAAGTATGTGGGCGCGGGAGGGGGAGGAGAATTTTTCGGAGTTTGTAAAGCAAGTTGAGTTCGGGTCACCAAGTAGAGAGACTAATGATATTGTAGGACGAAATAGTTATGAGCGTGGGAAAACTAGGATGGCTGTCATTATTCAATGGAAATGGGAAAAGGGAGAGGAACCATTAGAACTTTTTATATGGCTCTCATTAAGTACAAAATCGTGTAGTGGCTATTCGCTTATAGCCCCTCATAGTGTACAAGGAGTATCCATCATTCGATTTAAAACAAATAGACTAATTTAATTAAAGTTATTGACTGTTTGAAAATTAGAAATTGTCCCTTCATTACCACATTTTGTTGCAATAATTAAGTCATTTTTAAATTCGAATGCATATCCTGTAAATCGTACTTCGACGTCATGAAATTAGCAGTTATATTATTTTTTAGTTTTAGTTCCGTCATGAATGATTGTAGATCCGAAGAAATATTAATTGTTAGTCTTTCAGAGTTTGCATTTGTAAATACTGTTGCCAAGATATCTCCTAAGTAAACCGTGTCTGTTTCCGTGTAGCATTACGGTTCCTTACCAATTACAGTAATTACGGAGGATAGGTCGATTGGATCGATGGATTCGAAGCACCCCATTTCATTTTATTAAAACGAACACATTACATTGTACTTAAAACTGATAAAGTTCCGTTCCTGCATGTTTAATCATTAATAACTAACAAAAATGCAGGTTGAGACAAAACCTGAAATAAATCTTCCTTCAACTATTATCTTGTATTAAGACATTATTAAATCGACAATTACATTAAAAAGGACTTGGCATGACGGGGGAACGATATTAGTTTGTCACTATTTCAGTTAAAGTTCTTAATATTAGGTTTTGTTGTTTGCCACAAAGGCCAACGGGACCAAGCCTCACTAGGGGACCGTTGAATTGACGTTTTGTCTGATGCGGTGCATAGAATACTGCAATTAACATTACTTACTATGTCATATCAAAACTCTACTAAATGAGCTCACTCAAATCACTTCTCACCATGTTACATATGGAACATCTAGAAGGTAATTTTAGATACGCCAGAAACTACTTTATGATTTCCCGTTCTTTCGTATTATGTTCGTCAACACGAGCTTAGAACTAACAAGATCATATTTCTCACCACAATTTTTTCAATCTCTTATGTGTTCTTGCAATAGAGTCCATTTTTTTGTACTCTCAAGGGTCGTACGAAATTCCTGGCTTCTACTTTATAGTTCCTTGCCGACCATGTCTATCAAGGAAAATCTGCTTCACTTACTTTATGCCTTGTTCTAAAAAGCAGCTCTAGTCTTACAGCCAAAAAAATTATAGACATGGATATTAGTTCACTACCCAAAACAATTTGTGCGCTGCAAGAGCCTCGCGTAATACCGGTGCCGTCATCTTATAAATACATAGGCAAAGTTAGTATATCTCTAGAAATGTGCATTTGGATTTATTTTTTTGAATTGTTTCTTTTTTCAGTATTAGCGCTCTTTCTTTGTTTTTTTTTCATATTGCTTAGTTAAGCTTTTTAAATTTAGTTATTATTATAGTATATCCACCATTCATAACATCTGAATTCATACATTTATAATTCAGGATCGTTGTATTACGGTAAGACAGCTGTAATAAGCAAGGTACTGTCTTGGAAACCTGGGACATTTAGCTGTGGTTATTATTTTGAGAGTCTTGGTTTTATACTGTACAAAACATAAATTAGGTTTTCGATTGCGTTTTTTGGTAGAATAATTTTACTTTGGGCATGAATGCCAAAAAATGATTTAACAAAAAGTTTTCATTTTACACGTTTGACGAAGTTAATTTCACATGAGAACAAAATTGTCAAGTAATTCTGAGTTAGTGGATTAACTCTTTGGAAAAACTTTAACAACATAGTTAGCGGGAGGTAATGTTTTGGTGTTGGGGGTTATCTATCCACGTGATAGATGAAGTTTAACACTTATAATTTATATATGTTTTTGATTGATAATTACATCTTTAAACAGTTTTAATGATGTTAGCTATTTTCCACCAAGAAAATAGCGCTTTTTTGCTAACGCTAGTATTTGTTCTCAGTTAAAGTTTTTATAACCCAAAAAAAATTTAAAAAGGTCTAAATTAATGTAAGTACTACATATAATTTAATTGTTTTTAATGATATCAGTTATTATTTTATTCACTAAAAGTGCAGTTGTTACTATGTATCTGTAGTTCTTATTGAATTAATTTTACAGGGTTTTCCAGTATGTTGGAGCATAACAAGCGTAATCTAAAAAAACTTAGGAGGAAAGAAAATAAAAAGAAGAAATTAAAGGCTTTCTTGGAAATAAGTAGTTTGAATGATCAAGATCGTAAGGTAATTGAATTTTATTGCATATTTCTATTGTTATGAGTTATCCAATGAAAACTATATTATGATCTACTGATTTCAGAAGTCAAGTGTAAATTCAGCTAATGGTGGGTTACCTCTCAAAGAACCATCTAGTAAAAAATTCCAGAAAAACTTTGAGGAACCTAATCCTAAACGAATGAAGAGGGATTATCTCTTTCCACTTAATGGCATTGCAGCGGATGACAATAATGATGTATGAGACAGTTCATTAATATTGTTGTTGTTAATTTAAAGTCATTTAACAGAAAATATATTTTTCAGGTTCATACTAGACAGGATAGAAGTCTACTTTCCGAAGAACAAATTTCTGAGTTGAACAAGCTACTTAAAATGAGGAAAAAGATAAGACATGTAAGGATATTATATATACATGTTTACTTACTTATTTTTTTTTTTTCAATTTATCGACTGATTTTTTAAGTTTTTGTTTCCATTCTTTGAGTTTTAAATTATGTGCATTTCATTGAAGATTCGTGCATTCGATTCAGTACTTACCAGAAGGTTGGGTCACTTCCTTCTACATGGACATATTTGACCATTCTCATTATTCCATTTATGATGTTATGAAGAATGTTCTTGTGCCATCCATGAAAGTGGAGTGACATTTATATAGTAGTACCTGGAATTCTCTTCATATTAGGAATATCAAAATATTTCTTGAGATTTCATTTTCTCTTGCAAAAATGGATTTAATATGTTTCTGAGGGAGTGAAAGAATTGGAGCTCTTCCTTGTATACTAGCACATTCAAAAATAATTGTTAACTTTGTTGTGAACATCAAATTACCGTTGTTGGTGAATTTTAATTGAATTCGGGATTTCCTTGAATGAACTTAAGAAATTAATGAAGTTCCTGAGGTGCTCTACAGCATATATTAGCTAGCTAGGATTAGCTTTTCTGATTATATACACTTGTAATTCATTATTTTTGGTCATGGGTGATAGATAGTTAGGTAGCAGTCAGTTTTTAAAGATTTATATTGCCAACGTTTCAACCCAAGCTTGTGGGTCATCACCAATGCATGTTACCAGCACTTAAAATGTTCATTGCTTGTATTGTAACACCTTCAGTGTCAGGAACATACCTTGATGATGACCCACAAGCTTTGGTTGAAACGTTGGTAATCAAAATCTTAAAAACTGACTGCATCCTGACTATCTATCACCCATGATTTGCAGAACCGTCGACTAACTTCCTTCAATTATGTTTGATACATAACATCTGCTTTTCTACAACATGCAAACTTTTTTTTACCTTCTACTATTTTAGTTATTATAGTTTTGTGTTTTAATATGATCCAATAGATTCGCTTATTACTAAATTGGAGATGCTCATGAAATGTCAAGTATATACTGATGATTTTCTCTATAGTGCCCCCACCCTGTTACTTATTATAATAGAGTTTAATAATCTGTGGTATAGACTCCTTTTTATCGAATTATTAGAATCCGGCTGAAACTTCGTAAATAGCTTCATTTCATTTTAACCTACAAATATTTTGTGTACGAAAATTTTCTCTGGAGGTCGGCAATATTTGTCTATTTAATTAGGTACTAAAAACTCGTAAGTACCCATTTTCTTTCCACTTGAATCATAAGATAACTTGATCAAAAAGTCAGAAAAAAAGGTCCCCATCATAAATGTTGAACCGTTTGGCGTGACTTTTACCCCTACATTGTTGAAATAACTAGTTTATGTTGGCCAAATGGTCCAATATTTTTGCAGGCCACTTTTTTTTATCGATTTTGTGCTTAAGTTATTTTACAATTCATGCGGAAAGCAAATTTGTATTTACGAGTTTTTAGTACCTAATTAAATAGACAAAGTTTGCTCACCTCCAGATTGAAAACACCCCAATTCCAAGAAATTTCTTAAATAAAATATTTGTAGGTTACGATGAGATGAGTCTATTTATGAAGTTTCAGCCAGATGTTAATAATTTGATAAAAAGAAGTTGGTACCACGGACTATAAATGGTTGTGTGGTTACTTTCTATAATGGTATACTTCTTCCCATTCTTTTGAAGCTTTAACCCTACATAAATTTGAATTTCCTAAATACCTGATCTTTCCCCTAATACTCTGTGACATTGTCAAGTTGTTTCCAACATTCTTTAAAAGCGGTATAAATGTTTTATATTAAAGGAAGAAACAAATTTGCCTTTAATTTTCAAACTAGGCCAGAATTGTCATTTCTTGTCATTTTTCTTTGCATATCTAGCTTTAAAAGTTAAATAAATCAATTTCAATTATAACAATCATTTTTGAGGTTTTGTTTAATTTCTTCTCTACTCTCCTGATTCCAGGCCTGCAGTTGTATTACTACTCATTTTTATATGTGGTTGTTTATTGTAAGTTGACTTGGTCTAGCTTACATTAGTTACTCCTCACTCTTATTTGTTTCTTTTCATCATCTCATGATTTGCTCAATCCAATTTGAGGTTTATTTATTTTTTTATATATTTTTACTTTTCTATCTCTGCTAGGCCAGGAAAGTATTGGGATAAGGTCAAATTTTCGATGTATTGTTTTCAATGAATTTATAAGTTTCAGAGTCCCTAGATTCCGAAAAACACATTTTCAGCCCTCGCTCTGTCTGTTTGTCTGATCCTCAACTTATGGGACTTTACTCACTAAGTATACATTCTAGAATAAAATTTATATAGAATCTTTTGAAAGGTAATTAAATTCTGTACTAAAATCTTCAGAATCTAACCAGTATTTGCAATGATACAGTGTACTCTATTTTCTACACGTTTTATTACTTTCTGACTGCTACTAGATAAGGAAGGTGTTGCAATCAGGTCAAATTTTTAATGTGCGGTTTTCAGTGAATCTTTGCATGTAAGTGCCTCCTGAGTCCGAGAAAACATATTTTGAGACATTGGTATGTCTGTGCTAAGATTATCTCAGGAATGATTAGAAATTTTGTTGCTTCTTTTTCTGCATCATAGGGTTTTGACTACCAATCCCATTGAAACAAATTAAGCATTACCTATTCAACAGAGGCTGTTCAATAAGAGAAATACATGTTTTCCATAGACTGAAATGCCCAAACGGTTTCTTCTATTTAAAATCATTTCAATTTTTGGTACATATAGATAATTCCTGAGAACATTCAGGGAAAAAAAATTATAAAGAAAAGAAAACTTTTTGGGAGTTTAACTTACGAAGTATACATTCTAGGGTAAAATTTATATAAAATATTTTGAAAGGTAATGAAATTCTCTACAAAATAAATAAAAATTCATTGTAATTGAACCAGCATTTGCAATGATGTAGCGTATTATGCTTCTAGGTAAAGGAAGTATTGTGATCGGGTCAAATTTTTTATTTATGGTTTTCAACGAATCTTTACTTTTCAGATTTTTTTAAAGCTATTAAAATTTCCGACTAAACTAAAAAAACCAAAAAAATTGTCTAAATCGAGCCAGTTTTAGCAAAGTTACAGTAGATAAATAAATAGATAGATTGAAACGTTTATTGGTTTATACAGTACATAATCTCAATTTTTTTTTTTACATATGATTAAACACGACTTATCGACAATGAACTTATATTTTTCTGTCGGTGTGTTCACCTAAGTTATACATAGAGATATCTTGTCTTCTAAGAATTCACAGTTTCAATATAAGAAAGTCCCAATTGCAATATTATATGTATTATTAAAAAAAAACAAATCTTAATTTTAACTGAAAAGTCTTTCTAAATACAAAAATATGAATACATCTACATAATGTACAAATATACATGAACATAAACTTAAATCTGTAATAAATCTATAATTAGTGGATGTTTTTAAATACAAATAAAGATTTTTGTAGTTTTAAGAATGTTAAAGTTTACGCGTTAATGTGCTCGGCCTTCACGACCTCTATAAATAAATATCTGTGTATTTCATATGTATCAGGCTATAAAGAAATATTATATACAAAGATAGTATGTGTCTGATTGTAGACCGCACCATCCCTCTCCTCCCCCTGACTAACTATTCCTTAAATTAGAACCTCAGTCAGTTATTCTGTACATGAATAGTAAATAATAAATTTAGCATTACTTTAGAAATTAAGAAATGTTTACTGGTTCTATACTAATAATGCTGGCACTATCTAGCTAGTATTATATTTTATATTTATAAATTGGTTCTTTTTCATTAAATTAATACGTTTCTTTCTCTTGTTTAAAAAAGTTTTAAAAACATTGTCTTATCATTTAGATTAAATTTTCATTAGGTAGGCTGAAATAAAATAAGCAAATGTATAAAAAAGTTGATTATGTTGGGTATATTTATATATAGATATATATATATATATATAGCTATTTTGATATTCTGTTATCTATTAGACTTGAATAATGCAGGTGCATGAGGTTGGTTGCTTTCTTTTTCTTTTCTTCTTGGTTATGGATTTTCAGCAGCAATACTATAAATTCTTCAGTTACTCTTTATTTTATATTTCTTTGAAATTCACTATTATCAACAAATAACTATATACTCTATTTCTGTATACTGGTTTGATAATACAACAAATAAATTCAATTGTTGTTAATTCAAAGTAATCATTGCCAAATAACAAAGAATATCATACAACTTCCCAGAAAAAAAGGAAAAAAGAATACTACGTTAGTTTTGTGCATTTGATTGACTTGGTTAAATGGTCTCCAGAAGCAGAGATGAAATAGCTTCAGCTAAATCCAGTTTTGATATCTACTTTGTTGTGATTCATGATAATGTGTGATTTATGGTTTTATGGTGTGGGTGTGAAGTTCAGGTAGACTAGTGGAGCCAGAAACTTGTACATACCTGCTCCTAATGTGGGGTGTAGGGTAGGGAGGTAGGGAGGTAGGGAGTCCCTTTTTTAGGGAGATTAGGGATTGACCATTTTGCAGACAGAGCTTTTTCTAACAAATTCAGTCTTGTAGTTCATCTACTAGTGGCAACATCTGCAGTTCTGTGGGTGTTGTGTTGTGTGTCTAGGACCAAATTTTAGTAAGTTCTGTCATTTTTTTTTTTTACATTGTTATTGTTTTGAATTTTTATACTAATCATAGCTATAGTTAGTGTTTTTCAAACAAGAATAAACATCTAATGAAATTCACATAATATTAGACCTTTCTTTCTTTGTTAATATGACTGAGTCATTGAACAATTAATGTAGATATAATGATATCCAATTCTTAAAATATTATGATCAGGATTTTCAGACAGAAATTTTTAATTCAGGTTTGTTGGAAACCTTTGCCCATATGATGGCCCACCTGTTTTGGGGAAAAATGCCTATTTTTATTTTCTTACGTTATTAAGATCTTAATATTTGTAATATTGTATAGACATTTCATGTAAAACATGATACTCAGACCAATTTGCTTAACTCTTGTTAGAGAAACTGAATTTTTATTGTAATTAATGATTTTAAGATTGTAGAAAGATAAAAGTATTTGGATTTATTTTAAGTCTGTTTATGGTTTATGGGATGTTGTATAATGAGGATTTTCAGTCAAAAATTGTTTCATTCTGGTTTGACAGGAATCTTGATGATCACTCAAATGATTGGTTTAAAACGTCAGACACTTGAATAAAACATTTCTAAATATCCTGATCATCCACCATCCTAGATAGTTAAATAAAAAACACTCAACAAAATCTGTCTCTAAGTTGTTAATATTTTCTTACACAATTAAAAATAATTGTAGTATTGGATAGAAATTTCATATTAAAACATAGCTGCACCACCTTGCCTAACCATTGTTCGAGAAACTGAATTTTCTTCAGAATTACTGCTTTTAAAACTGCAAATAGAGAAAGTATTTAGATTTATTTTAAATCTATTTATGCTTTATGGGATGGTGTATAAACAAGATTGTCTGTCAGAATTTTTTTATTCAGATTAAAAGAAAACAGTCTGCAAAAATCCATATCTAAATTGTTTTTATTATCTTACACTGTTAAGATCCTAATAATTGTAATATTGGATAGATATATCATATCACCTTGATAGTCAGATCACCTTGCTTAACTGTTGTTCGTTAAACTGAATTTTCTTTATAATTAATGATTTCAAGATTGCAGAAAAATAAAAGTATTTGAATTTATTTTAAATCTGTTTATGTTTCATAGGATGTTGTATAATGAGGATTTTCAGTCAGAAATTTTTTCATTCTGGTTTGAGAGGAACTTAGTCCTAAAGGTCACCCAAATGCTTAGGTCAAAACATCGGCAACCTGAATAAAAAATTTCTGACTTAATAACCTGATCATTCACTATCCTATATAATTAAAAAAAAAAAAAAGTCCACAAAAATTCATTTCTAAATTGTTTATATCTTCTTACACTATTAAGATCCTAATAATTGTAGTATTGGGTAGAAATTTCATATTAAACCATAGCCAGACCACCTTGCTTAACCATTGTTCGAGAAGCCGAATTTTCTTCAGAATTACAGATTTCCAAGACAGCAGATTGAGAAAGTATTTACATTTATTTTAAATCTATTTATGGGATATGAGATGCAGGTGTCAAAACGCGGTAGCCTGACTAAAAAATTGTTGGAGATGTTAGGAAATTGTTAAAATGTGTAATATCATAAAAGTGCCACTTTTGGTTAGCTGATTTTGATGGAAAAGTTGCTGTAACGTCCTAGGCATGTACAAACCTTAAATGCTAAGTTTCAGTTGTGTACGACTTTTCGTTTTTGAGCTAGACTGTTCACATATACACACATGCTGACCATTTTGTAGGACTTGGTTATTTAGACTCAGGGAACCTATTTCTGTTGAAAACTCAGATTAGAAAATTTTCATGATTGCAATGCTTTTCCTTACTATATATTAAATATATAGGTAAGTGAAAGCAAAAAAGAGTCCACAAAAATTCATTTCTAAATTGTTTATATCTTCTTACACTATTAAGATCCTAATAATTGTAGTATTGGGTAGAAATTTCATATTAAACCATAGCCAGACCACCTTGCTTAACCGTTGTTCGAGAAGCCGAATTTTCTTCAGAATTACAGATTTCCAAGACTGCAGATTGAGAAAGTATTTACATTTATTTTAAATCTGTTTATGGGATATGAGATGCAGGTGTCAAAACGCGGTAGCCTGACTAAAAAATTGTTGGAGACGTTAGGAAATTGTTAAAATGTGTGATATCATAAAAGTGCCACTTTTGGTTAGCTGATTTTGATGGAAAAGTTGCTGTAACGTCCTAGACATGTACAAACCTTAAATGCTAAGTTTCAGTTGTGTACGACTTTTCATTTTTGAGCTAGACTGTTCACATATACACACATGCTGACCATTTTGTAGGACTTGGTTATTTAGACTCAGGGGACCTATTTCTGTTGAAAACTCAGATTAGAAAATTTTCATGATTGCAATGCTTTTCCTTACTATATATTAAATATATAGGTAAGTGAAAGCAAAAAAGAGTCAATAAAAATCCATATCTAAATTGTTTATATTTTCTTACTTTATTTAAGACCTAATAACTGTAGTATTGGTAGAAATTTCCTACACAATGATGGTCGAATCTCCTTGCTTAACCGTTGTTCAAGAAACAGAATTTTCTTCTCAATTGCTGATTTAAAGACTTTTCATGTAATTATTCAATTTTTTTTTTTTTTTTAAATGAATGGATATTGTTGCAAATTTAAGTAATAGCAAAGGAAAGTGGATCTAAGAATAATAAAGTTTATGTTTGTATTAGTTTTTGATTTTCTTGAAGCATTCAATTATTTTTTTTTCTTCGTTTTGATAATTGGTGCTTTGTTTATTATTGATTATAGTTAATAACTTTTTGCATTTGCAGGTTGGGTGATTTGACCGCAACAAAGTTAAGATGAATAATAAAGAGAGATAAGAAAGATAAGGTTTATCCTTTGCAATAGTTATCTTATTTCAGTTGTTAGTTTCCAACCTTTCTTGATCTTGTCTTGTGTTGACTCACTTTTGCCTAATCGAGATAATTTGACTTTCAAATCTAATATTTTTTTTATCTACTTCCATCTTGTTTCCTTCAAGTTTAGAATTGTTTTGTTCGATAATGTATCGTTCATACATTTATTCCATGGTACTTTACCCTAAGTGTGCATAATGCTAATAGTGTTAGATTGCCTTTAGTGGAGCTTTCCGGATTTCTTGTCTTTGTTCATCATTGATATTTTGAAGTTATTATTATTTTATAAGCCAGAAAAAAGAAAATATTACTTTTTAGTTCTATTAGAATTGTTTTGTCTTATTTTTAATATTGTATGTTCGAAAGTAGTTTATTGTAGGAAGCTATATTGTATGTTTATTCTTTGTGTTGTTGAAGTTGTCACAATTTGCGAATGTGTAGATTTTATTTCCTATTATTATAGGAGAGACCCTTCTTGGAGCTAAATGAAGTCGGTGAAGCAGCTACACTCAGTTTGCCAGAATCTCAACGCGTGCCATTACCTTTTGACGACTTCCAACATTTTATCATCACGTCACTATTTGCACATATGGGTACTAAAGGTCCCAGTAGGTGAGTTTTATACGTATAATTTTTTTTTTTTGTAGATTTATAAAATAGTTCAAGTTTTAAATGAGTGATTTACGTTTTAAGGACAAATTTGACTCCATTACAACTTTACTGTAACGTAATTTTTTCCTCTCTGCTTATTGAAAAAAACAAAGCATATAATCGGTAGAGTGTGTAATTTATTGAGACAAATAGAAACAACACCTTTTTTTTATACAGTCTCATTTATTCCCATTTGGTTCTCGGAGCTTGTAGTAACCCGGCAGAATTCTATGTAACAATTTAAAATTATAATGTAGTTTTGCGATATATATATATGTATGTAATAAGTTTTTTTAATAGAGTATGGTGCAAAGCACTGAAAGCTCCGAGGACCAAATGGAAATAAATGAGACTGTTTAAAAAAGGGCATTGTTTCTAATTTTCACAAAAAAAGCAACATTTATTCATTTATAAGATAATTAAATTGAAATATGTTAAAGGATAAATCTCAGGTATATTATGTAACTAAGCCTCAGAATTGATGTATCAAATCCAGTCATCCGATTAAAAACAAACAGTAATGAACAAATACTATTGTTGGATTCAGAATTTCACAGAGCATTAGCTAACCACACTCAGTTTTTGTTTTTGTGTCAAAAATAAAATTGATCTAGGTACTTATGTCTTCAAAACTAGGACTCTGATAAGTCAGTAGCGAGTGGAGACGGGACATATTGGTTTATAAATATTTGGATGCAGACATCAAGACCTGCTAATATTCTTCCGGAGTGTTTTAGATGTTTAGTCCCTGTGTTAAAGTTGATGTTAAAGCCCTTAAATCTACTATTTTCGGTAGTTCCTTCGGATAATAGAGGAGGAGTTCATATGAGCTCTGTATACAATTTTAATTTTTAATTAATAACTGAAATATATTTACAGATTGAAAATGACAAACTTTCCATGAAAACCAAAGCAGTATCTTATTATCTATCTTTATATGTTATTTCTCAAAGAATGATTAAACCATCATTTTGAAGAATATATTTTCTTTTAATGCTGAAAAACAAAACAAAAAAAAACAACAAAAAAACAAGGAAACAAGTAATTAAGAAAACGAAACTTTATTTGCATATATCTCAAAAAGTGTATAGGATTCAGGATTGGTTACGTTAATATATTAATTTTTACTCATGTGAAAGGCCATTTGAAGAAAATGTATGTGTGGGGATGGTTGGTATACGAACCATGCTCTGTGATTTATCTAAGTTTGTTTACTAAACTCTTCTACGGAAATAACTACTTGGATGGAGTAGGATACTATTTTGACAGATTCATTAAGTATTAGTGCCATGAAAACACTCTCCTAGAAACTAATAATGTGAAAAAATAAATCAAATAATAAATTTTGAAAGTGTTACTGATCAGTGGATACCCAAAAAAAACAAAAACAAGAACCTAACAAGATGTTGTTAATGAGCAACTGTAAAAGATAATCTGCCTTTTTCTGTTCTATTTCAAAATGATTAGGGATATTTTACCTCTCTACCAGATTGCTTTGTTAATTGATTTTATTTATTATTTTAGTGTAAATTAAGCTTATTGTCTAATATTTTTCCTGCCAATAGCTACATTATGATTAATCAATATATTTCCCTTCAATATTGAAAATTATTCTCTGTTTTTGCCTTAGTTATTATTATTTTTTTTAAAATACTCTATCAGCTAATTAAAATTAGTAAATAAATTATTCAATGAAGTTAAATGTTGAATGAATTTCTTACTAATTTTATAAAAAATATTTATTCTATTTAATTTTTCCTAGGTGGATAAATTGTAAAAAGTACCAAAAACTGGAGCGACGAATTTTTTTGATAATTGAGGGTGCTGGTCTAAAAGATTATTTAGAAAATGTAGCAGACTTGAAGACCCTTTCGCAGTTCGAAAAGCAGTTGGAAGTCCTGTCGCCGCTGCAGTATGGTGGCGATTTAATAAGTGAACTCGCTCTTGTTTCTTTAACTAACAGCCAAAGACAAAAGCTTGCTTCTGGTAATTATTTTTGTTATATTATAAAATTAATATTATTATATAATTAGTATTTATAGAATAGTCATTTGATATTAATTAGATGCTAATTTTGGTAATTAATCTTATTGGTAACAAACTTTTTTATACTGACCATACTTCCTAAGTTTTTTGCTTTCATGTCATATATATATATATATATATATATATATATATATATTTTCAACCTAAATAAAGATTTCCACTTTTTTCTCCATTTTCCAATTATAAAATTCTTTCATACTTTATATTTAGTCATTTTGTATAGTTGCTGTCAATAAGAGAGAATGAATTTTTTTAAATAAACCAAATTAAAGGTAAGAGAAAGAGATATATGAATATTGGGTATTGAATAAAACACAGCTGATATTAAAAACAACTTAATAATACACTAATATACCGAGTTGAATCAAAATCTTTAGAGCCGTTTTTGAGAAAATCCAAAAAACGTGTAACATCATTGATATAAAGTGCCACTTCCGGTTCGCCGATTATTCGGACTCAGGAGACCTCAAAACGTGTATTTCAGTTGAAAACTCAGAATCGAAAATTTTCACGATCACAATACTTTCCTTACCATACATTACATATATAGGTAAGTGAAAGTAAAAAGTATTGTGTGAAAAAAAGATATAGGGCCATAGAATTGGCAAAATGGAGCTTATGGTTAGAAAAATCATTCCTAGCAAATATAGAGTAATGGTTTTCACCATGATCTGCAACTGATTATATCTAAAACCAAGCTTCACCAATAAAATTATTGATTGGAGAGATGGTCCTCAAACCCCTTTCACTGAAAATCTGCTAATGTTGCATTCCTCTCTCAAATTACTTTTAGGTAAAAAATAAATACACTTTATACTTTTTTTGTCTGCTAGTATTCAGATGTCTTGGCCCTCATCATTCATTTCTACCTTATTGTAGAGTCTAATCTAATATTAGAAAATTAGAAGCAGTGATTGATTCCTTTTCTCCCGAAACTAAATACAACAATATCCACAAACCTTATTTAATCATCCTCATCTAAGGTGTACACTTTTTTAAACAATTTGTACTAACTTTGTCAAAAACTGAGATTATTATAAATGATTCCACAGATTGTTAACGAGTTTACTTGAAAAAAAATTCATAAAATAGAAGTTGTAAAGCAAGCATTAAAAGTACCAACATTTTTAAATTAGTTCAAGAACACCTCTCAAAAATGGCAATCATTTGATTCCTGGCAATTGGCTAAATATGACTTACAACTCCTTAACAGTAGGTGATTATTTGACTGAGTAATTCTTGATCAGAATCTGCTTTATATAATATATATCTTTTTTTCCGGCTATCAGAAACGATATATTTTGATTGAACAGGAGTCAAAATAAACGAAGTTTAATGGATAAGTTATGAATCCCAATCCTTTATCTAAATTAAAAATGTTGGTATCCAATAGAAGCAGAATGTGATGCTTTTCAAATTGTATTGCCTGAGTTATTCCTCTTAGAAGAATCTACTGATAAAGTTAGTAAAAATTATTATTTGCTTAATTGTTTCCAGCCATACCAAAGTATTAAACATTCTTTAAGTTCTTAACGATTAACTTTTAAATTTCTTTGGGGCTCTACTAAACCATCAAATTCCTCTTGTATCCAATCCTTACAATCCAAAATCCTTCGTAAAATCCTTAATGCTCCCTACTTTGTCACAAATAAAATCATCCATAATGACCTTAATGTGCCATATGTTTCCGATTTAGCTCAATCCAGATACTTGCCCTTCCATAATAAACTTCAGAATCATCCCAACCCTCTCGTTTCTAACTATATATATATATATATATGACATGTCATTGGCATCATGTTAAAGTAATGAATGTGGAAAATCACATTTTTCAATGTTGTTCATTTACCATTGTACTTCATGTCCACTTTGTGTCAAGCGGGGTGTGGAAGACTGGAATCTGTAATGTAATTTTTAAGGAATTCATTACTTCATTAGACATGTACATGGTGTAGTAACGAATAATCATAATCAAAAGTTTTCATTGGGCCAATTCACATTTGTTACTTAACATACGTTTATATATAGGAAGGGGAAGGAAGTATTGTGATTTTGAAAAATATTAATATTAGGACTTATTTTAGATTTTTGAATATAAATTAAAAAGTTTTTTTGTTATTTCTTTATGACATTTACAACTGTATTACATAAATACATCAAGTAAATTTGGACATAATTGATATAATGACATGAATACACTTGCTGAGTAACTACCCAATGGTAGCACTCTAATGATATGACTACATTAGGAGATCACGGGGCCATCTTCTTTTCAGACGCCTCGGAGGGTTATCAGGAATTGAAGAGGAAGCAAGGTTAGAAACGAGAGGGTTGGGATGATTCTGAAGTTTATTATGGAAGGGCAAGTATCTGGATTGAGCTAAATCGGAAACATATGGCACATTAAGGTCATTATGGATGATTTTATTTGTGACAAAGTAGGGAGCATTAAGGATTTTACGAAGGATTTTGGATTGTAAGGATTGGATACAAGAGGAATTTGATGGTTTAGTAGAGCCCCAAAGAAATTTAAAAGTTAATCGTTAAGAACTTAAAGAATGTTTAATACTTTGGTATGGCTGGAAACAATTAAGCAAATAATAATTTTTACTAACTTTATCAGTAGATTCTTCTAAGAGGAATAACTCAGGCAATACAATTTGAAAAGCATCACATTCTGCTTCTATTGGATACCAACATTTTTAATTTAGATAAAGGATTGGGATTCATAACTTATCCATTAAACTTCGTTTATTTTGACTCCTGTTCAATCAAAATATATCGTTTCTGATAGCCGGAAAAAAAGATATATATTATATAAAGCAGATTCTGATCAAGAATTACTCAGTCAAATAATCACCTACTGTTAAGGAGTTGTAAGTCATATTTAGCCAATTGCCAGGAATCAAATGATTGCCATTTTCGAGAGGTGTTCTTGAACTAATTTAAAAATGTTGGTACTTTTAATGCTTGCTTTACAACTTCTATTTTATGAATTTTTTTTTCAAGTAAACTCGTTAACAATCTGTGGAATCATTTATAATAATCTCAGTTTTTGACAAAGTTAGTACAAATTGTTTAAAAAAGTGTACACCTTAGATGAGGATGATTAAATAAGGTTTGTGGATATTGTTGTATTTAGTTTCGGGAGAAAAGGAATCAATCACTGCTTCTAATTTTCTAATATTAGATTAGACTCTACAATAAGGTAGAAATGAATGATGAGGGCCAAGACATCTGAATACTAGCAGACAAAAAAAGTATAAAGTGTATTTATTTTTTACCTAAAAGTAATTTGAGAGAGGAATGCAACATTAGCAGATTTTCAGTGAAAGGGGTTTGAGGACCATCTCTCCAATCAATAATTTTATTGGTGAAGCTTGGTTTTAGATATAATCAGTTGCAGATCATGGTGAAAACCATTACTCTATATTTGCTAGGAATGATTTTTCTAACCATAAGCTCCATTTTGCCAATTCTATGGCCCTATATCTTTTTTTCACACAATACTTTTTACTTTCACTTACCTATATATGTAATGTATGGTAAGGAAAGTATTGTGATCGTGAAAATTTTCGATTCTGAGTTTTCAACTGAAATACACGTTTTGAGGTCTCCTGAGTCCGAATAATCGGCGAACCGGAAGTGGCACTTTATATCAATGATGTTACACGTTTTTTGGATTTTCTCAAAAACGGCTCTAAAGATTTTGATTCAACTCGGTATATTAGTGTATTATTAAGTTGTTTTTAATATCAGCTGTGTTTTATTCAATACCCAATATTCATATATCTCTTTCTCTTACCTTTAATTTGGTTTATTTAAAAAAATTCATTCTCTCTTATTGACAGCAACTATACAAAATGACTAAATATAAAGTATGAAAGAATTTTATAATTGGAAAATGGAGAAAAAAGTGGAAATCTTTATTTAGGTTGAAAATGAATCTTTGGAAATATTAGTTAAAAGGTATACGTATAATAAATTGTTGGAAAGCGGAAAATTTTAGAAAAAAACAATATCTAATATAGAAAGTCATAAAAGGTAATGGAGATCGAGGAAAAATTATAAATAATAATTTGTGAAAACTAATATTATTTAACGGAAATCACAAGTTTCTAAGGAAATAAATTGAATTTGTTTACTAAATGTAAAATTTGTTTAAGTTTGAAAAAAAGTATTTAAAATCCACCGAATCACGAGTTTTTGTATTGATGGATATAACAGAAATTCAAAACTACGTTGTTTAAAGTTCAGCTGCATTAAAAATGTGCTTGAAAAACTTCTTGTAATAGCCCAATTTCGCCTGATAAGAATCGCTTTTTGAAGTAGAGGGTTAAATGAAAGTTGTGCGATGTGCAAACCAGATTTTTATCATTTATTGTTCTTTTCCAATCAACTATTCTCTATTTATGTTTTTATTTTATTTTTTAAATGGTTTTATCTTTGATTGATCAGTATGTTTTGTGAATCACAAACTTAGCACAGTTGAGCAGCCACTCACTATTTATTTCAGGTTTTTCTCTCTTTGTCTGATTTAGATCTGAATCAGTTAGTTCCTGCCTTGCTCTACTTTTTCTTTATCTTAGAATCAACAGTTTTTTAAAATTTTATTTTATCATTTTTGCATTAAATTTATGATAATTGTTTCAAACATTTTTTCTCTCTGGACCTAATCAATCGGCTTATAAATGATTCACATTGTATCCAAGAAGGTGAAGATAATCAGCCAACTTGTTTGTTTTTCCTTTTAATGTTTCATTTATTTGAAATCACTTCTTTTTTTTTCTATCCAAATGTATATAGAACTGTAAGATTTATAATTGCCTACTTAGTATTGTAGTTATGTGTGCTTAATTTTATGAAAATTTTCCTCTTTTGTTATATCAGCTGTTTCACACTCATCAGCTGATCATTGCTTTGTTAATATTTAAATTTTATTGTAACCATATTGATAAGAGATTTGTACATTTTTTAATGAAACCTAAGTGAGATACTCTTCTTTACTATATTTAAATTTACTTTATGGTCTCTGTATTGTTTGTTTTAGTTTTATTTAATTTTGAAAGAAAGAAGAATCTTCTTTCTTTTTTATCTTTTTCTATAGTCCTTCATTTAATATATATCAATTTAGATCTCTTAATTCTGTAATTTTTAAAAAATTTATTTTTATTGCTTTTAATGTACCATAATTAACTGATGTTTTGAGTAGTACGGCCATCTTCTTGAGGGTATTACTTTTAATAAATTTACAGTCTTTAGTTCAGTAATTAATTTACTCCTTTATGTGGATGCAACAGTGGTATTTTTTTAAAAGTTGCATATTAAATTGATAAAGTTAAAAATTATTCTAAAATTTTTCTTTATTTGTTTCTGAATGCATTTTAATTAAATATTTCATTTTATACTATAAGAACCATTAATTGAGTAAAAAATATTCCTTTATTTTATTTAATTTTTTTAATGTTTTGTCACCTATATCAGCCTGCTTTACCTTTCTATATCTTGGGCTATTGTTTTTTTGTTATTTCATGAGCTCTGTTGGATGCTCATTTTTGGTTACGCTTTTTATCCATTCGAGCTTTGTCTGCTTCAGGGATTTTTTATTTATCATTGCGGGGTGACTTTTACCTCTCATAGTTGTGAAAAAGCAGCCGCTGGATTGCTTCGAACTTCATGCCTTACCTAATAAGTTTTCCTGAATAATTTTCCTTTCTTCTCTATCTTTTAAATTCTGATTCCAGAGTACTGTGATTTTATTATAAATTAATTTTATTAAATACTCACTGAGAGATTCTGAGCCTAGTGTTTAAAATGTTTTATTGTTGCTTAAGCGTTATCATTCATTAGTTTTAGCGTGAAGCCACATACGTACAAAATATTGTTATAGAAGTCATTGGTTTATTTATACTTGATAGTATATCATTAGGTAATAATTAATGTAAACAATATAAATATATATTGATGAAAATTGAATTTTTAAACAATGATAAGGAGATGGTTGGTCATGGATTCAATTTCACTAGAAATTAATCAGAGGTGCAGTGAAAAAATACTATATTGTATAATGTTATATATATATAGTATAGTATATTGTATAATAGTATATACTAGTGTGTAATAGTATATAGTATACTATATACTATTATACAATATAGTATTTGTTTGACTGCACCCCCTACTAATTTCTTGTGAAATTTTAAACAGTTCAAACAGTTGGGTTGTGGCACCGTGATCATAAAGATGTATTGTGTGCCATGTTCTAATCGGTTTTATCCTAAAATGTTAATTTTGTCACTTCCAGGTATTTTAATAGGCTTACAAGGTTGACAGACTAATAGTTTCTGAAGTCATCCACTTGGTCCTCCCCAAACAGCTCAAATTTAAGCCTAGCAAACCTATCTCACTGACAAGCAATGTGGAAGGCTGTTTCATTCTCCTTATCACAGAATCTACAGAGTCGTTTCCTAGACAATCGGAGATTGTACATATGATAGTTTAACCTACAGTGAGTGCCCATTGTGGATCGCTCTAATTTTTCTAAGTGCTGCTCTATTCAAAGCAGCATACTCTTTTTGTCACTAGGCTGTTCTGGGAACAGCTTCGAATGCTACTATACCTTATCAGACCAATATTGCTTAAACTTAGCGCCATGTAGTGAACTAATAGCTACTGAGCCTAACCTGGCTAGTTTATCAGCCTCTTCGTTGCCTATGATACCCGAGTGACCAGGCACCCACTCAATGGCGCCAACCTTGTTATGCTCAGTAAGGTTGTTAAGGAAGTCCTTAACTATCTGGGAATAAATATATTAATTATTTAAAGCACCTATTGCTGCCTGACTATCAGTATAATTTATTATCCCTTACCAGTCACTTGGTAGTAGGTTTTGGGCAAAATGGGAATTTACTAGTAGTTCAGATTGAATTACTGAGGCATATTTGCCAAGGGAAATTAAAAGCCTGTCCTCTTTGTCTTTCCGATAGATGCCTGCACCTGAGTCATTAGCCGTAAGAGAGCCATCTGTGTAACAGTTAATGCCGTTTTTCGGTTTATGTTGTCTGCTAATATCAATACCTACACCGTATTTGTTGTCCAGATAAATTTACATCATAATAGCTTGATCAACTAGAACTTTTATCATTTCAATTTTTGTGAAATCTGAAATATTTCAGCTATCTGTTTGTAACTGTTGGTTCTATTCATTGAATGTTTTTTTTCCTATTAAGTTTGCCGTATATGACAGTTTGATTTTATCTTTGACTGAAAACCGTAATTTCTATATTTTTTCTTTGTATATATAATGATAAGACCAATAGGTTCTTTATTATGCTTTTTCTCTTTGCTTTAGTAATGAATTTGGTAGAAAGCTGATTTTGCAATAAATCAGAATTATTCCCCTTCATGAAATGTATACTTCTGTTATTTTATTTATCTTTTTTTTTTCCTTTTTTTTTTTTCAGAATATGGATCTTTGAAAGAAGCTTACAGTTCTGGTGACATATTTAAGACTTTCAGAACTATTTTCCCCATCACTGATAGAAGCGACAAAGTTGCTGAAGATAATCAAAATAAAGATATCAGGCTTGCTAATTCAGAATCGCCTATGCTTGAAAAAGTAAGACCAAAAGATAAGTTTTCAAGGAAATCACTCCTTCTCAGCCCTTGGGAGATGATAGAGGAAAATTATCCTATGCCTTTGAATGGAGAACTTGGGAAGAGGTACATTCTTATTTATATTTGTTTTCTTTTTAGTTTTTATTACTAAAAATGCCTGTTATGTGCTAACTAGATGAGAAAATTCGTTATTTATAGCTTGGTGAAAGTATACGTATTGTTCAAAATCATTTTAATAATTATCAATCTAAACTTTACTGAGTTAGAAACAAAAAAAAACCTACTTTTGTAACAACAATGAGAATGGTTCATGAATATTGTGTTCTTCTTAATTGTTTTTTCTTCTTAAACTAATTTCTCCCAAGTAAATAACCTTTGACTATTGTTCATATTAAGTCAAATTATTTAAAATCTTACCTGGGATATCTTTATTTTAACCTGTTAACTTATATTATTTTTGAATTTTTGTTAAGATATTCTGACTTTATTTTCACACGTCATGATTACAACGAAGTAACGGAAAACTCACCTATGTGGGCTATAGATTGTGAAATGTGTCTAACAGCTGCTGGCCAAGAACTGACTCGTATCTGCATAGTGGATGAAGACCTCAATGTGCGTTGAGTTGTTATTTATTAATTATTAAAATTATTACATTATTATTTAGTAAAAGATGTACATGAATTTTGATAGCTTACTTAAACAAGCATGTTTATTTCAGATTGTGTACGAAACTTTGGTTAAGCCATATAATCCTATCAAAAACTACGTCACTAAGTTCTCTGGCATCACACCTTCTATGATGAAAAACGTTAAAACTCGCTTAGAAGACGTGCAAGCAGATATCCGTGCCATTTTTCCTCCTGATGTTATACTTATTGGTCAATCATTGAACAGTGATTTGATGGCAATGAAGGTAAGTTGAATTGATATTTTATAATTTATTTTTATATATGTATCTTGTCATAGTTAAACAGATAAATTTTAGGAATCTTTTTTTATTGTCAATAGTATTTTTATAACATATTAGTATCCGAGAAACTGATTTACAAGTTTTCTATATTTATACTTTTTTCAAAATTTTTATTATATTTCTAATAAAAATGTCGTCTCTTCTAGCTTAATTTAATTTTATATTCACTTACTATTTTTGTTTTGTTGATTCTTTTTTTAATTTTATTTATTCTATTTGTTTTTTCATTATTTCATTTCCTGTTTACTTAACATTGATTTTTAATGATGTAGAGATGGTTGATCGTTGATATAATATGAGAAGGAGTTAATCGGAGCTGTGCGGTCAAATATTGGCAAAAATTAAATTAAATAATTACTATATTTTAATTTAGTATTTATTTTACCGCTATGTATTATAAATAAAGCTATGTTATTATTTATAGAATCAGAAATGGGTATCCAACCTTGCATTTTGTAGTAGAATGAGCTCCTCGATCACATGGCCACACTGTATATAAATAAAACTTTTTTTATTGGGAAATATAATATTGTGTCACAATATGAACATTTGTTATAGCGAGGAAAAAATAATTTCAAACCATAATATAAATGCTAAAATTCATTTTTACAATTTGGTTAAAATATTAGCTTGAAAATATATTTTTTTAATTAACATTTTGTAATCATGATTGTTTTATAGATGATGCATCCGTTTGTCATTGACACTTCAGTCATCTTCAACATGTCTGGCATCAGGCAAAAAAAGACCAAGCTGAGAATTCTCGTCGAGGAATTCTTGTCATTAAAAATTCAAACTGACGATGCTGTTGGGCACAGTCCTGTAGAGGATGCAATTGCTGCTATGAAACTGGTCCAAGCCAAATTAGAACATTGTTAGTATTTTTTTGTATTGTATTTACATTAATTTAATTGATCATTGTTAAAGTAGATCAGATATGAAGGACCAATATTTAAATATAATTATAAGATTTTTTTTTTCAGCACCGAATTGGGGAAATGTAATTTTAGGAGGCCAGAGGTCTAAAGAAGAATCTAATGCAGCAAGGATTCTTCTGGAAACAAGGGAGGCAGCTGGTATGGCCCGAATATCTGTTGCTGATCACACGCGAATTGTTTGGCCACAATTAAAAAAAGATAGAGATTGTCAAAACCATGAGATTCACAGTTCCGGAAAGGATGTTCGTTCAGACACACAGCACTTAGAGAATATTGGTGCCACATCATTATTCTCTCACCTAGTCCGTTACGACAAGAATGGTAAATCCAATCATACTGTTGAAAAACATATTTGACTAGGAGAAGAAAAGAAAAAGAAATATTTGTTTTACTAAGCATTTAAATAAACTTTATTTAACACAAATATTTTTCTTTTTAATTTTTATTTAAAATAGTGAAAAATATAGTTAATAATGTTTTAAAATTAATTATTTCTTTTTAACTTAATAAGTTTACATTCATAATATCTATGATTAACTGTTTAACTATTACGTAATAATTTTATTATGAACAGTTTTGTTGTATTGTTAGGTATTGGATTAGATGCCAACTTTTAAATATACACAGTTGAACTACTTATACGAAGCTTCCTTTTATCTAAAATCTTTAATTATTAAAATTTTTGTAGGAATCTTGTTTTTTTTTAAGCACAAAATATTAAATTTAAATATCATTCACTCAAAAAATTGTTACGTACCTTTTAATTGATAGATTAAACACATTTAATTCAATAATTAGTGCATTGTTTCAAAACACTCACAGGATCCTGCTGAATAATTTAGAGCCATCAAAGTTAAAAACCATTCTAGTCATTCACTCAAACAATTGTTAGATATCTACGATCAGTCTACACAAACTCATAACTCTATTTATGGCTTTGTTGTACTCCTGTAAAAAAAGTATTAGTTTTATGTTTATAGGAATGAGCTATAAGTAAATTAAAAAAAAAAGAAAAAGCTTTATATAAGAAGAGGAATTGCTTCAATGCTTACATGAGTAACATTAGTGAGAATCACTTTCTTAAAATCTAGTTCATCGTTTTTAATTGATGAATTATGAATTATCATGAGCCGGGATTCGAACCTGGGACCTGAAGCATTGGAAGAATTAATACTTTTTTAACCATTATAATAATTTTAATTGCTTTAATACATAAAAGATCTTAACAAAAATATGAAAAATTTTAATATATTTATTTATTGAAATTTTTTATATCATAATTTTTTCAAGTTCAATCAGGTCATTTTTCTAATCGTGTTAGGTTTATAAAAGTTTTATTAGTTTAATAGTTTTAATAATATATAAAGTCCAATTTCATAATTTAAAAAAATGTATTGGACCCATTTCTACACGCATGCAGATTTGATGCCGATGTCAATGACGGCTCCAAATATATATATATTTCTTTTAATACCTCATCATAGTGATTGAATTATTGATGAACAATGGATTGATTTTTTCTTGTTTACATAGCATTTGTACTCCAAGATACTGACAGAAGTTTGGAATGTATTATTCAAATGACTCGTGAAGAAAAAAAAGAGTTTTATAATATATATTCGTATTTCCAAGTACTCTATTCACTAATAACATATTTTTAATCTGAATTGTTCATGTTTTGTTTCTGTTTAGCTTTACTGGTTGCCAAGAAGAATGAACTAGACAAATTTGCTCCGTTTACTGGCAACATCAACAATAGATTTCGGATGGAAGCAGTAGATACCAACAGAGCTGCCATAAAACATGTCAGAGAATTTACTGAAACCGATGGGACCGGAATAGCTTATGTTTCATTGTCGTCCCATTCGCCAGAAAAGGCTATTGCGAAGGTAATATTTTATTTTTACACTAATATCTTTGTTTAAAGTTAGCTATTAAATTACATCCTAATCCTCCAGTTAGATACAAAATCACCTACAGCTAATGAAACCTTATTATAAAAATTAAATCGGTAGTGAAATGATATGTCCTATTAGAAATGTAAATGTTAAAAATAAATATCAACTTATATTGGATTGATGGATCTCAAATATATTGAAGTAGTAATTCGATCTATTGAGCAAAAAAATAAAATTGATATTTCAGGTCTTGATATTTTTAATATTTGAAAAGAAAAGGATCATAAATGTAGAACAAAGATATTGAAGTACTGATATTTTGTGCCTTGAAGTTTTTAATTTTTGAAAGAAGTGGGTTAGCTTTGAATTAGATATAATAACCAATTTTTAACACCTTTAATGGCAATAAATTCAAAATTTAATTAATAATGACTGAAACCTGTAAAACTTGTTAACATTTCCATAATATATACATTAAAAAAAAAAAAAATTACTAAGAAATCTTATATAAATAATTAAACCAATAATTGCAATATTTTGATGTACTCACGATCGAGGGATACCGTTTTTGTTTATTTAATATATTTTTTAATACTATCTGTTTTCAATGATCAATTCTAATATTCATATTACTTACTTCCGTGGCTCTACAGCCCTAAAAGAGCCTTGGCCTCCTCAACCACGCCTCTCTAATCCTCTGCCTCATTGATGCATCACAAATAACTTTTGTTTTCATCTCCTTCTTTTGCCTTTGTTTTGCTATCTTATAGTTTTTTTGGTATTTATCTTTTTACATGTGCCCAAGCAATCTTATATAGTTTGATTTAATATGAGTGACTATGTCTTGTTCATTATATTGTTCTTGAAGTTCTCAGTTATTTCTTGTTGTCCATATTACCACCTATACATCTGTTGATGTATCTTCATTTTCCTCTGAAGGATCTTCTCGCATTCCTGTCTTGGGACCCAAGTTTTATCTACAAAGTGAAAAAGCTCTCAAGATCATTTTATAAATAAATAGCTTTGTCTTGCATGACAAGTTCTGAAATTGGAATGTTTTGCTGGGATTCTTGCTTTTGTTTTTGCTTTTATGTCATTTTTTTTTCATCACTATAGCTCCTTGGTATTTGAAACTGCCAACTTTCTTAAATGTATGGTGGAGTAGTCGCATGTAATCCTGCTCTTCCTGTTCCTCACTTTTTGAGAAAATCATATATTGAAGTATATAATTGTGGGTAAATGGTTGACTGTCGTGAATAATGAAGAGAAGAATAGTTGGGGTGATCTCTTCTCTCCCCCCTCCCTGGCTACCATTCTCATTTCTCCGTTTTTACATCTTTGGAGACAGGTTTGTTCTCTTTCTTATTTCTCAGTTTCTTTCCTCCTTCCTTTCATTCCTTTTCTGTTTTAACTCTTTATTATATTATATGTTGTCTGTACATCTTGATAGACTTTACAATATCTAAATTTTCTATCTAACTATTCTATTCTTGATATCTTAATTTTACTATTTATTTCCATTTCTTATATAACTTCATATCTCTTTTTTTCTGTTTTACATTATATTTTTTAAGATTCCAATAATTAATTAATACTTATGTCATCTTTTTTTATTATGTTTACTTCATCATTCCATACTTTGTACCAGTTATTATTATTTATCTCTTAGTTCTTACAATTGTCATTATTCTAACAACTGCATTTTACTTTAATTTTTTTACCTACACTACTTATGTTTCTCATACCTTGTTATCTGGTTCTTTTCTTAGCCCTGATGAAGGCCTGAACTTCAGGTCGAAACGTCGGCAAATGTCAAAATAAATATTATCATTTATTTTTGCCTTCTTATTTGACTGATCACCCCAACTATTCTTCTCTTCATTGAAGTATATACTTTGTTGGTTGTTTCCTTATTTAATTAAAGACCCAATTTTGTTCCAGCATCAAATTCCTATGAAGAATAGTGTTTACATCTGAATATCCATGTTACTAGCATAGGCCGAGTCTTTGGTAAGTCTATTGTATATTATTCCTCCTAGATTCATCTTAGTTGTTCTGGCCACTTGCTCCAATGTACTACAGATACTGGTCCTTTTTGCCAACCTCAGATGCCTACCGCGAGGTTGCTGCCACATTCTTACCAGAGTGGGAATATCAAGATTCATTTCCCGGGGCCATTAAGAAGTGAAAATTAACCGACCCAGGTTGGAATCGAACCCACAATGGTCTTTTTTATAGCCAAAAAAGTCAGATTTTTTCGATATTTTTGGGGTTTTTCACATATAACTCTTAAACGATGCATCAAAGCGATAAATGTATTCTTTAATGAATTAAAGAACGTTAAATTTTGCGTCAAATGAGTACATAACCTTTAAATTTGGTTACGTGCTAAGGCATAAAACTATGGTCAACCAACACTGATTTTTACCAAATTTGTAAAAAACTGAGACAAAGTACTCTAATTGGCTCTGTAACTTGGAAATGAGTTCCCTAATAGGAAAAACCTATACGATCAAAGTTGCAAAGCATCAAATTTTGTGACTACTATATTAAAAAAAATGTACATGCATATCATAAATCTTAAAAATCATAAGTAGGTCTAACTGGTTTTTGGTTCTACTGAAATTTATATTTTTAATTATGTGGATATTTACAATGATATAACGTTTATGTTCTCTCTTTACTTTTAGTTGTTTATTTTGTCTTTTTAACTCTCAAGACTGTATTGATAACTTAAAAGTTTTGTTCATTCAATTTTATATATAATGGGACTAAATGAATGTTGCAGGCAGATAAACTGGTATCGAAGCTACTGAAGTGTACTAAAGGGAACACACTGTACACTGTTCTTCTTGCTGGCCATGCTGCCAAGCCTAGTGACGGTATAATTTTCCTACACCTTTCAAGAGAAAGAATTCCTATGATATCGAATATTTTCTAGTTTTTAAATGTTCTTCTGAAATATATTTAGTGTTAAATTGAAATTTATTGGTATTTTGTTCTAGGACATTAGTCTTAAATATGTTTTGTATTGAATTCAAATTGTTTTTATTTAAAATACATACATCTATATAATGCATATACATTTATAATTGTATTTAGTTAAAAATAAACTGTTATAATTAGTATAATATAATAACTAATGTTAAATATGTGATAGTTGATCTTTGCCGAATAACTCAAATATTAGTGTTATTTTTATATATGTATTTTTTTTAAGAGTACTGTTTTATGATTATGGTTTTTAAGAAAGATGAACTTGGTCCTCAGGAAAATGTTTGATTTTTAATTATATGTTTATATTTAATTTTACTTATACTTAATTTTAAATATTAATTAATGAATTTTATATCATTTTAACTTATTGCTTTGTTTATTTATGGGTAATATTTGTTATTTTCTTTATGATTGTATGATATTGTATTACAATTAAGAAAAAATTTTGATTTTTAATTATATGTGTATATTTATTTGTGCCAATCCATGTATTCGAGGCTGTGTATTGTTTTTTAAGCTCGGATCAGATGGCTGAGGATGTGGAGGATTTTACTTCATTTTATATATTGAATATGTAATTTGAGTTCTTTATTTTCATTGTATGATTTTTTTGTTTACAAATGGTGCTATAACGTTGTACAATGTAAATGAGTCCTTTTTTAAATATAAACTTTTTGATTTATTTTTCTAAAAACTATTCTCTATAATAATCTTAATTTCACCTTTTGTTGTAATTATTCTGAATTCGTATGATTTGCCGACTGGATTTTTTTTCATTTATTTAAACTTTTTTTTTTTAATTCTTATTTTGGCTTTGAGACTTGTAAAAGAAAGTCCTATTTTGCCAGTAAAATATTTTAACTGTCATAGTAAGATGAAATTACACTGGATATTTATTAATTATTGATGGATAGATGATCACTGAATGTAACTAAATATTGAATGTAACTTATATAGAACTTAAACTAGAAAGACTAATAGTTAAAAACTGAGGTGACAGTAGTTTCATAAAAATTAAATGAGGATAAGAGGCGGCTTTTATTAATTAACCGCTTTTATGTCATTCAAAAACTTAATCAAGTCATGGGTGTTATCTTTATTCATCGACCGAAGAAAGGTAGCTCCATCATTCGTAGTTTGCGATCCTAAACTAATTCTTTGCTTCTTCAATATTTTGCACTTGAAGGAAATGTGTCTTGGATCCTCCAAGCATTGGCATGTTGGGCAGTGACCACTCTTAGCTATAACCATTAGATGTAGATACTTATTAGTTCTACCATGATTTATCCTAAGCCTGTTTAGGTTTACTAAGCTGGAGCAGTCGAAATGAGATTTAAGAGTCACAAACCATGGAACCAGTGCTATCTTCTGTTGAACTGCGTGATGTTCTTACCCTTCTAGTCACATTCCCAGTCGTAGAAATGCTGTCAGTATTTCATTATTTTCCCCCTCCAATCAAATCCAGTAAAGGAACCTTAGCATTTATTCGATGTAGTTGGTTTTTATTTGCTGTTTTGTCTGCCATTTCATTTCCTGATATTCCTAGGTGTCCCGGTACCTACTGGAAAAAGTAATTTTTGCTGGTGTTGTATATTAGTGATATGCTTTTGTTATTTGTTGTTTGACTTTGAAACCAAAATAATTTATTTGTTTTATATTGAATATTTAATAGTTGACCGCTGCATTATAAAGGAAGGAGATGGTCCGGGGTGGCGGTCATAAAAAGGCTAAATAGTGGCAAAACTATTTTATTAAAAGCCAACGTTTTGACCCGACTTTGCAAGTCTTCTTCAGGGACGTGTGTTCAGCTAGGAGTTTCACTTAGAACTCACTTACCTCCAGTTCTAAGTGAAACTCCTAGCTGAATACACATCATTAATCTTAACGAAACCTTTTAATGAGTTTCAAAAACAGTTTCTTCTTTGGAATGTAAGGTTTGATCCAATTTTTAAAACTTAAAGATAATGTTGTACTTAAAATTATAAAATATATAACCGCTTTATAAAAAGTAAGCAATCGAAACTGAATCTGGCATTCAGAGTTTAAAAGGAATGAAATGGTAATAAAAAATGGTAATAAATAAAAATAAAAAAGTCAGGTAATAAAAAACATACATTTTCTAAGAAGTCAATTAGTGAATGTAGCATTATTTTGTTGTTATTCTTTGATTGAAAATCAGCCCTCTATTGTGTTATGACGATCAGTTTGGATTCCGCTCAAGACACTCCACTGTCCAACAAGACCACATATCCTCTGCACTTGAAAACAAGCAATATTGCACTGGTGCCTTTCTGGACGTAGCTCAAGCTTTCGACCGGGTGTGGCACCATGGCTTGCTTTTCAAGCTCAAAACCCATTTACCTCAACCCTTGTACCTAGTCCTCAAATCCTACCTTTCAAATCGCTCCTTTCAAGTCCGCTGCGGCACTGAACTCTCCAAACATTATCCAATTGAAGCTGGTGTTCCACAAGGCAGTGTCTTGGGCCCAGTTCTCTATATCCTTTTCACCGCTGACATCCCTTCAAGTCCTGATACCTTCCTAGCAACATTTGCTGATGATACTGCCATCCTATCCTCTCACTCGGATCCTCTAATAGCGTCTCAGAACCTGCAAAGACACCTTTCCTTCATTGAGCAGTGGTGCAACAACTGGCGCATCAAAATTAATGAATCAAAATGCAAGCATGTAACTTTCACTCTTCGACGCAGATCCTGTCCGCCAATCCTTTTTAATTCAATTCCTCTTCCCTACTCAGACACAGTCCGATACCTTGGCTTCCTTTTGGACAAAAGACTGACTTGGAACCCACATACCAGACTTAAAAGACAAGAGCTTAACCGACGATTTGGTCAGCTATATAGACTACTAAACAGAACATCTCATCTCTCAACAGAAAACAAATTATTAATCTACAAGACCATACTGAAACCTATCTGGACCTACGGACTTGAACTGTGGGGGACAACTAAATCATCGAATATCAAACGCATCCAATCCTTCCAGTCCAAAGTCCTTTGAACAATAGTCAATGCTCCATATTATGTCACGAACAAGACCCTACACCATGACCTTAACATCCCATATGTCCATGACATCATCCCATCCAGATTCTCCAACTTTCACCAGAACCTCATTCATCATCCCAATCCTCTAGCGCAATCCCTATCCAGCTCCGAACATCCATACCATCTCCCTCGAAGGTTGAAACGGCAGTGGCCTCGAGATCTTTTGTAAATATGCCATTGGAGTCCTGGCAATGGCCAGCTTCTCCACTCATGTCCTGAGCGTCTGTGGCACTAGTGCCCTCTTTCAGTCTCCATTGGCTTCTAATACTAGTGATGCGGCTGGAAAAGTGGCGCTGGGATCTTCCGGAGTCTTGCTTCGCCTTCCACGTGTGGGGGAAAAAGCCTGGCTCGGAGATTCTTGGGCGAATGTATATATTGTATATAGGTATGATTGTGTTTAGAAGTTTTTATTTTATTTTATTTGTTTATTTTATTTTTATTTAACTTCTTCACCAGTATTATTTATTTACTTATTATATTTATATTTATTTCTTTATTATTTGTATATATTGTATGAATGAGAACTTGTAGCCCTAATGCTTATAGCCCTCCAGCAATGGCTGATTGTATTATTATTCAATAAACAGATTAAAAGTTAATTGTGTTATGGAGTTAACTCTATTTAGTAGGGGAAAGGAGGAAGTAGGGGAAAGGAGAAGAGTAGTGGGGGCAACAAATGCTAGGCGGGTAATCTAACCATGAACTATCATTGAGGATAAGCGCCCCCACCCCATCCCAAAAGGCTGCGGGCATCATGTAAACTATTACCCAATATTTATTTTATTGTATAAGTCATTTTGGGATGTGCGAAGGAATTGGTAAAGATGATATTTAAATGAAGACAAGGAAGAGGCATGGCGGATTTCAGAAGGCAAGGAATTCCAGAAGGCAGTGGACCAGGCAATAAAGGAATATTCAAACGTCTTAGTTCTATGGGAAGGGATATTAAGGTCGGAAACACGGGATCTTGTTTTCTGGGAGTGGACCAGGGGTTTAAACTGGAGGAGATTGTAGATGTAGGAAGGGTGTCGGGTGTTGATCGTTTGGAATAGGAAAGATCCAAGGAAATCTTAGCATGTGTACATTTTTTGGCAGCTTCACAGTGTCCCATCACATATCCAGGATATAAATCAGATCCACAGGTCTCTTGGCCACTGCCTACCTAATCGTGGTGGTTGGCTGTAGGGGTTTCTAGTGCGTTTAAGGATTTCAGCCCAGAAGAGTCATGTCGTACGTCAGTTTTTGGGTAAAAGTTATTTTAGTTCTCTTTTACAGTATATAGAATCGTTGGGATGATAGAGTCTCTATGTAATACATCATTTCTACAACAACAGTGCGTCAACTATCCTTCACAACACTTTTGACTGGAATGTCTGATTTTTTTTAATGTTGGAGGTTTTAGCAGAACCCCACAGTTCTATGCCGTAAACCCATATTGGTTTAAGTAAAACTTTACAAAGGGTTAGTTTGTTAGTCAGAGATAATTTTGAACGTCTGACAAGTAACCTGGATAAAAGACCGTATCGTTTGTTTAAATCTATTCGTTTTTGTCTAATGTCAGTCCTACAAGTAGGAAAAAAGTTAAAATTAGATACTTGTATAGTTAAATATAAAAGTTGTAATTAGATACTTTTGTTTAGTTAAAAACCCAAGTATCTAATTACATCTGATACTGGGATTTCAATATTATTACTATTTATATGATTACTATATAAACACTGTTTTTTCATTCACTTTAATTTTCCACCAGTGGGCCAATCAGCATTATCGTTGAGATGATTTTAAAGAGTATTAACCCCTACCCAGCCCGAAAGTTATCCTCCGTAGATATGAGGGTAATATTAAATAGTTGGTTGAAGGAAGTAAAATTTTATGGTTGGAAATGAATGCTTGATGCCAAACTTTATCGAAAGCTTAACTAATGTCAAGAAAACTTCAAACTTCTTTTTAGGTTATAAAGAATTAGAAATATAATCCACCAATCGATGGAATTGTTGAACAGTTGAATAAAAAATTTGAAACAAAGAAATATTTTATTATGATCTGAAAAAAAAGTTTCTATAGGCGACACGATAATCGTAGAGCGTCAAGTGAATGTTTTGAAATTGCTTGTAATGTCGGATACAGATATTGTATTTAATAATAGACAATGAAAAATAAATCGATGATTTCGGTATAAGTGATATTTTTTATGTTTATTTAATGAAATTTACAACTGTATGCAAATACAACTAGTAAATATGCTCAAATTATAAATAATGACATGAACAGGCTTGAAGAAATACTACCCAGTGGTAGCATTCCCTCAATAATTCTAGGTAAGATCACGAGGCCATCTCCTTTTCAGACGCCTAGGAGGATTATCAGGAATCTTGGAAGAAGCGAGGGGATTTGAATGGCACTGGAGTCTATCTATCATGAAAGGATAGATATCTGGCTCAGGCTAGATCAGCGACATAAGTGATTTTAACATATATATATATACCTCTCGGTAGAGCTCCGTGATAGACTGAAAAGACTTATGAACAGCTGTTTGAAATTTGTAATTGGTGCCCAGAGATACTCCCAAGTGTCTCACCACTACACTGAGTTAAAGTGGCTCTTCCCCTCCATTCGAAGACAATATTTCCTAGGTACATTCCTCTATCAAATCATCAACAATCATTGTCCTTCTTACGCCTACACACTAGCGGATCCAAGATTTAATTTTGGGGGGGGGCTTCAGCCCGAAAGATTTTTTTTTCATATATATATATATATATCGATACTTTCATTAGAAAAAACAGAAAGATTCTAACTACCTACATGGAATGGTGTTTAAGTGATTCTTGAAGTCATATTAAATGTAATTAAACGAGCAATAATACTTTAAGACTTAATTTTTTACCATAAAACAAGGTTATATTTTACCATTTTGGGGGGGGGCTTCAGCCCGAAAGCCCCCCCGTAAATCCGCCTGTGCGCCTACAACCTTCTCCAATTCAAGTCCTCAGTTCCTTTTCAAGAGATCTCGACCTTCCGACCTTTACATCCCTTCTTACCGATCAGCCTCGTTTCAAAACTCGATTATTGCTGGCTGTGTTAATTTTTGGAATTCCTTCCTATCAAAATTCGGCGTTCTACCTCCCTATCTCCATTTAAAGTCCTCCTATTTCGATTTCTATCCCAAACGCAGTCAGACACTCCCCGCTAACCTTTTATGTAAATTTATATATTGTTCGAAATGATTGACATAATGGTATATTTACATATAATTCATGATTTCTTTTTTTTTTTTCTTCAGAAACACAGAGTTTATTGCTATGAAGAATGTAATGCATTTTTTAATTTTAAATTATATACTTATGTTTTACCACTGCACACAATTTTAAGTGTCTGAGCATAGTTTCTCAAGTGTTTTGTATATAGATTTTTTTATTATTTTGTACATGGTATGTTTAACTAATATTTTCTTTACTTTTTTTCTTTATTTTTACTTTTTATGTTTGTTTTTACTTAGGTCAGATATAATACTTTAATTTTGTACTTTTTTGTTATTCTAAAGGGACTTCGTCCTACAGTAAAATTATTTTTCTATTTTATTCTATTCTATACATATATATCAACATACTGGTTTTAAATAAAAAATGATTCACAAATCACAAGTAGTAGCGGACTCAGAATTTGATTTGTGGGGGTTAACATTTATTTATTCAAACAATTTTTTTTTGGTGGCGGTAATCACAGAAAAATTACGATTTTGGGGAACATTGTTTATATTTCAGTTTCTAATTTATTAATCTAATATAATAATAATCTATTTATTTCTATTATTATTTTTTTTTTTTACACGTGCTCACATTTTATATATTTACAATTTGCCATTTAAGCAGATATGGACCAAGGAAATAATAAAAATTATTTTCCTATTTGGGAGTTGGTAACTTCAGCCCCTCCCTCCAATGGTAATAGATGATAAGCTCGTCACTTATAATTGATCACACCAAATTTGTTCCTTCATCTATAAAACGTAAAACACGAATAGGAATTTTGATTCTGGGACAAATAATTTTTTTAACTTCCTACAATAATACTATGCTACTCTACCTTCGGTAATGAGAGAGAAAAAACAATATTGGTTATTGACAAAGAGGCACTTTCCAGAGAACAATAATTTATTCACATAATTTAGTTATATCAGGATATAATCTTATACCGTGCTTAGAAGCCATATATCTCCGGTTTCATAAGTAAGTTGATAAATGACGATAGATTCATCTTGATCTTTTTATTATATTGCTATTTATAAATAAAAGCACATACTTTTTTAATCTTTTTTTTTTTTTTTTTTTATATCATTCGAAAGTTGTCTACTTTAGAATCAAAAAGAAGAAACACTAAATAACTTTATATTTATAAAAGAAGAAAAAATTATAAAACCAACTGGTACATCTATTCTATTCACCCGTTTTCGATCGATATTTATACATTATTTGGAGTTTCCAATAACATGATTTTCCTTCCGATTTCAGACAAATTAAAAAAAAAATAACGGGTGTCTATAGAAACCTACACAAAATACTTGTAAAAACATAGATAAAAGTTCCAAAATTTGATCCAATTACGGAAGTAATTTCTTTACTTTGTAACAGTAAGAAATCGATAAATATTGGGTTGTGGAAAAAGTGATTTCGTTTTATCTCAGTAGGTGGCTTTGAAGTATCTTATCTCTTGTAATCCTTATTCAAGGAAGCCATTCTATAGTGCATTTGAAAGATCATAATCCATAGAACATTCTATATATAAAAATAGCGTCATTCATTTACTCAGTCAACAGTTAATGCCCTTTAAAAATTGAGGTTCCAGAAGGTCATTTTGCTGTTTTACCGAACAGGGAAAAATGCAGCACAGGCTTCTCGCAAATTGTGTGATGTTTTTGGTGATGAGAGCTTAAGCAAAATCCAGCGTCAGAATTCGTTTGCTCGTTTTTGTTCTGGAAATTTTGGTGCTGAAGATGAACATCGCCCTGACCAGCCAATCATTTAAAAATAAGGTTGAAATTATTCAAAGATCGAGATAAACCAACATATTTCACATCCTGACCTTTTACGGATCTAAAAATCGATGAGAAAACAATTTTGAACCATTTACATTACAAGACTGATACCAAAAGAAGCTCGATACTTGGATAACACATGGATTAACAGTGAAAACTTTAATGGACCTAGTTTCTATTTGGGAATATTTGCTGCTGGAATTAAACTAAATCGAGCCATTTTTGAAATAAATGAAAACAGGTGATGAGATGTGTATCATGCACAAAATAACGTGCAAAAAAGATGCTGCTCAGAACCCGCAGAAACTTTGTAACAGTGACAAAGCCTGGATAGACGCCAAGGAAGGATATGCTGAATGTTTGGTGGGATTGAAAAGGAATTGATCATGATGAGTTGCTCGAACCTGACTTTACTGTGAACAACTTGTGAGATTGAAGCAGGTGATTCTAGAAAAACGGTTAGAATTGATCAATAGGAAATGCGTTGTATTCCATCAGACCAATGCTAGACTACATACATCTTTAATGACCCGGCTAAGATCGAGAGAGCTAGGCTGGGAAGTTTTGATGCTTCCACCGTATCCACTATAGCCCGAACCTTGGCCCCTCCCCCTCCGCCTGACTAGCATTTGTTTTGGTCTCCGCAGAACTCTCTTAATGATGTAAAGTTGGCATAAAATGAAGATTGTGAAAATCACTTGATTCAGGTTTTTTTCTTGAAATCTCAGAGCTTCTACAGTGTAGAATTACGGTTTTACTAGGAAAGTGGCAAGAGGCTATCGACCGGAACGGCACATATTCCGTTAATTAGTGTTTGAAATCTATATAAATACATTGACTTTGGAAAAAAAAAAAAACGAAATTACTTTTTCCTCAACCAACTATTTGTTGAAAAACGCCAACCTCACATTTCATCCGATTAAGGCACTTTTTTTTACCTAGTTGTGATTAGTGGCTGGCGTTTCTGCTATTTTTGAGAAACATAAATAATAAACTGTTCGTTCACCAAAACCAACAGTTCCTAAGAACTATGTTTAATTTCATGGAATTAAATTGATTGATGTGAATATATTCAATCATAAAAATTATTTTCGACCAGCAAGACACTAATATAGATATATATAACTTTTTTATTTTATTTTATTTTTTTTTTGTCCTCCCCTTCCTCGCCTTTAAGGCTACACGGGGGTTTTCACGGGCCGGGAAGTGTGGGCGGGGATTTTAAAAACTCCTCCGGGCACCGGGATTCGAACTCGTGACTATTTTTTTATCAAAGTCTTATGTATCAGGTTGCCGGGCAACGGCGGTGCAGTGCACACGCGTTAGCCCATTCGGCCACCCCGCCCACATAGATATATACATCTAAAAACATAAACTAATCTTGCCTACAAATATGCTTAAGTTAATTTCGTAATGTAATTTTTTTTTTCTTTTCTTTTTTTCTATCCCCCAGGAATTTATTTACTATACAAAATACGATCTATAAATGCATAATGAAATATATATACAGAAAAATTTCTAATACTTCATACTTACCTGGCGTGGGAGTTACCGTGATCATTAGTAATGTAGTAACTGTAATCACGGGTGGATCTACGGGGAGGAGGGGGGGGGGCTTTCGGGCTGAAGCTCTCTCCCCCAAAATGGTAAAATATAATAAATGGTTTGTGTAATTACATTTAAAAGGAATAAGGAATCACTTAAACACCATTTCATATAGATAGTTAATTTCTTTCTTTTTTTCCAAAGTAATTATCGGCATTTTTATGAAAAAAAAGCTTTCGAGCTTTAGCCTCCTCCCAAAATTAAATCCTGGATCCGCTAGTGGAGGTTCGGAACATCCATCCTTGGAGTACGCTACTGGATGGCGGCTGCCTGCGGAAACCTGGACCCGGCAAAGGATTGTTGTGCCGAGATAATAACAATAAAAGGAAAATTTAAATAAATCCATTCTTAAGAAAAATAATTACTTTATTAAACATCACTACACAGACAATTTTTTGTTTCATTTTGTTTTCAAAACGGAACGACTTAAAATAAGTTACATTACAATTTAATTTTATGCACACACACATATTCATAACAACAATCGTATTTACAGGAATATGAGTTAGTGATGGTAGTTACATCGTTGAGGTTGACAGCGGTAGGTCTGTAGTATTGCTGAAGGGAGATGAGTTGGCAGAGAGGTCAGAGGTGTTGGATTGGTGTTGCCCGAACTGGATCAAAATCACGAGGTAGGTTGTGGCCGCTGCGATCATCTGGAAAATGAATGACAGTCATCTTTTAGTGGATCAATCGTCAAGCAATAGTGCAAAGAATATTTAAGGCATTTTATATCAAAAGTGGATATCTCTACGTCCATATCCACTTTTGTTTGCAGAGTGAGAATAAAAACTCATTTTTCGTCAGTTTGGTAGTGTTTAGTTTTATCGAAAAAATATTTGTAATAGAAGTTTTTTTATTTTAATGAAATTTACAACTGTAATACATAGAAAACACAACAAGTAAATGTGACATTGGTAACATAACATGTACAACATGAAGAGAAACTACCCATTGGTAGAACTCAAATTAAAGTTCTATATTAGAAGGTCCCGAGGCCATCTTCTTTTCAGACGCCTCGGAGGGTTATCAGGGATCGAGGAGGAAGCAAGGTTTAAAACGAGAGGGTTCGAATGGTTCTCCAGTTTGTTATGGAAAGATAAGTATCTGGATTGGGCCAAATCGGAAACATATGGAACATTAAGGTCTTTATGGATGATTTTATTTGTGACAAAGTAAGGAGCGTTGAGGATTTTACGAAGGATTTTGGATTGTAAGGATTGGATACAAGAGGAATTCGATGGTTTAGTGGAGCCCCAAAGCTCAATTCCATAAGTCCAAATAGGTCTTATTATTGTCATATATATGAGTCGTTTGTAATTGATTGAAAGCTTAGAGCGCTTGTCTAGTAAGTGCTGCAGTAGTCGAAAACGTCAGGCGGTTTCTAGTCGTTTCAGTCTGATATGGGGGTGTATTAGAAGTTAAGTTAGTATTAAGTACCAAGCTTTGTGAAGTTACCGAATTTAATCAAAATCTCAGTTTTGTTGTAAGTGGAGATGTTCTCTTGCGTAGCAAACCCCACTTATAATATTCTTGAAAACAGAGCTATTTCCCTCCCCATTGCACTTTCTGATTTATTCCTTTTCACTTTATTTATACTTTCACAGACAATAAATTGCTATGTATAGATTATTATTTCTAAACTCAATTCCAGTTTCTACTGTTAAAAAACTACAAGCTGGAAAGATATTTTAAGATATATTTAAATATAATAGACATAACACACAAACATAAAAAATAGGCTTATAGCATCTTTGGAAGTATATAGAGAATTATTTGTAAAAATTCGCTCTAGGCGCCAAGACTCACGCGGTAGGTCCGTTACAAATCAATATATTGGTGACATTGATACTAATGAAAGATCAAACCAAGAAAATGATTAGGAATTTTATAATTGTTTACGTAATAAAAAATTTTGTTATGTTCTATTTCTCCACCAATTTCGCAAACAAGTCATAATTAAAAAAAAATATGTTGTGTGCTTAAGAACACACGATAGAAATGAAAACAACAACAAGGTGGGATTAATAATATGAAATATAAATATTTGTATATTACAAAGATGATGAAATACGCATTTACCTCGCTTACAGTATGAGATTAGTGTAAGACAATTATTCACTACTAGTTTTTTTCCCTTTCTGACTCTCTAACTCGGCGTCACGTCAAAATAAAATTTTGAATTGTAGCTCTTTACAGGTGGATTTACGGGGGGGGGGTTCGGGTTGAAGCTCCCCCCCCCAAAAAATGGTAAAATGTAACCATGTTTTATGGTAAAAAATATTAAAAAATTATGTCTTAAAGTATTATTGCTCGTTTAATTACATTTAATAAGACTTCAAGAATCACTTAAACACCATTTCATATAGAGGTAGTTAGTATCTTTCTTTTTTTTTTCCAAAGTAATTATCGTTATATATATGAAAAAAAAGCTTCCGGGCTGAAGCCCTCCCCCCAAAATTATACCATGGATCCACTAGTGTAGCTCATTACAAAGAGGACGAAACGCTGAAAAATTCCGTCACTCACAATATGTAGATTCGAATTATAGTTTTTGAGATCTTTTAATCCAAATGCAAACATTATTCTTCACCCGATTCAGCTTTATATAGCCGAACATGACGGATCAGTCTCATTCAAACCCACAAAATAAAGTGCTAAGCCTAAAGAAGGTTTCACTTCAAAAAGTACTTGACCAAGAATTGTTTAAAATCTTTTTATTTGAACGCTTCGGGGATGCTTTGCTTTCATCATATAAAATTCACCAGCATTTTTGGCTGTCAAATTACAACAAAACTTCAACTAAAGTCATTGAACGATTGAACATAGCTATTAATATCATTTTAAGTTGAGCTTGCCAGAATAAGGTTCTCTATAAGTTCTCATAGAACTTTGCCATCACTATAATTTTTTTACATCGTAACCTGTGGGAAAAGTTGATGGATAAATAAAATAAATTGTCATAAATATCCAATGCTTATGTCATCTTGTTCTATCGAATTTGATTGTATACATTGTTGACAATGTAAAAATAGGTTTCATATCTAGGATTTTTTAATTTAAAACTACTTTAGGCCGGTATTGTACTTTATCTTTGTGGATATTGATTGAAACTGTGCCATGATCGTGAGCTCGGCTATATAACGGTTAATGTCGGCTTGAGCAGACTTATTTTTGTATTTGGAGTAACTAACATTTTCTAGTAACAGAAACTAAAGATCAAACCTGCATGCCGTAAGCGAGGGACATTTTATGAATTTCAATTCTTACCCGGAGTTAGATGCAACACTGCAGTTTCTCCGTAGAAAAGTTAATTTATTTTAAAATAGACAAGTAGACGAAATAGGCATCATGGTTATCATATAGAATATCATTGGCATAATATAGTTTGAAGTATTGATGGTATGGTGTGATTTATGATATAGGTTGAAATGTGTATATTATGTTATCTGGCCATATAACTAATTACTAGTTGAGCCTAAAACCGCTGCAAATTATTACAAAATGGTTTATTATTTCTAAACATTTATATAGCAAAAGTAACATTACTTTCCTTGTAACAAAAATAAATATAAACAAAAGATGATTCCTAATATTACTCTGATTAATTTTTTATTTCATCATTAGTAATTTTATAAGAAAAATAAACCACATTGCTTCAGTTGATGTAACACTTTCAGGATATTAAAAACCATAACAAAGAAAATAAGCTTTGAAATAGAACATATGAAAGATATTTTAATAAAACATATCTTTGCACCATATTGTCCGATTTCAACGATTTTTTTTTAAATTTTAGGGAATTTCGTAAACTTTTAAATGATTATAACAACATTAGCAAAAAAGTGTATATTTGTTTAGTTATTCGGATATATAATTTTACGAACCCTCATAACTTTTTTTAAGCTTCTTTTCTTTGAAGTATGTTGTACAGATAAACTCTAAGAGTTTATCCAAGTTTTATTGAAATCGGTACATCCGTTCCGGCGTTACAGTCTATACGACACAGGTTTTTAAGTGCCATCTTGAAAGGGAAGTACTTTTCGGTAAAATATATTCTACATATATATATATATATATATATATATATATATATATATATATATATATATGTTTAAAGAACATCGAGGAGAAGACTTTAACCAAGTTTCATTGAAATCGGTACAATCGTTTTGGCGCTACACAGGTTTTTCAGCTGTCAGCTTGAAAGGAAAAAGCGGATAGTAATGTAGAAGTAGGCGGTTTATCCTCGGGAAATATCTCACATCCACATTTGAAAAAAGTCGGTCCAGTAGTTTCGGAGAAAATTCGCGGACGGCGGACAACGGATGGAGGACGGGCAACATTTTTTTAATTCGATTTTCGAGTTCTACGAACCCTGAAAAGTAAAACCTCCAATTTTTAGGGGGTTAAATTTTAAATTTTTTTTTTACGATTACAATGATTTTTCATTTAAAATAATTAACCAAAATGGTTCTCAAGTTCAGTAAATTGAGATCATCCTACAATCGTTCTAAACACCTTCAAGAAGTTGTTAACTCACAGTAATAAAAATGCTAGAGGTCTAGACGAGAACTGTGAAATTTACTAACTTCTTCATAGTGTTCAGAAGAATTGGAAGATGATCTAATTTGAAGAACTCATGAGGACCATTTAATAAATGTTTTCTGTCCTACAATGGCTGCTATTTGATGAAGCAATGAGTTTTTATTTGTAATACATTTTGATAACTGCAATAAATCGTCCTATTAATATTATAAGGAAGACTTTAGTGGTTTGTGATATGCAGACGTTATATTACATTAAATAAATGTATGTTTTTATCATTCTACTAACCGAATGAACCAAGGTGTAATCCAAAGTGAAAAATCCACAAGCTGTGAAGACAACTTCTCTCTTCATCGCGATGTGGAGACGTAGTTTCTTCTGTTGCAACAAAGAAATACATTGATGAATGAAATCATCTTGTATTTCTATCTAGCCTACTACTACTTAGACAGTAAAGATATTTAAAAAAAACCTACGTTGTTTGATATGTCGTTTGTCGTATCATCGATCATCAGTTGGTACAACTGCGTATTAAACTCTTTTGCCTGAAACAGTAAATTCAATTAAATTTAATATTATTACAGAACTTTTAAAAAGAATCATTAAGACATAATTGTTATATAATTTAATAAGAAATCTATTCAGTTTTTGACTGAGAAAATCAACAGAGATTAATGATACATTCGGAATAGTTATTCATATATCTGCCATGTTATATAAATATATATAGTATTCATACTTATGTTTCCCTTTATTCATGTTTGTTTTAAAGTAGAATAAGTTCATGAAAATTTTTAACTTATCTAAAAATTACCAGACCCTAAGCAGGATTAGTACACATATCTTATTCTGATATAAAACAAGTCATTAAATTGATAATAAAGATTAAAAAAATTAAAAACAATAAATTACCAAAACAATGCTACTAAATAATAAATGAATTGAAACATTCAAATAAAAATATGAATAAATATGACTGGCTTTCACAGCTTCTCTATTAGATAATTGGAAAATCAACAAAATACATTGTTTGAAATATTTAACAAAGGAGTTAGTTGACATTTCTGAAACTTACAAGAAGCATGTTCATTCAGAAGACGAAGCAGCGTATTTCCAACAATAGTATATTTATTTATTTGTATTGAATATTTTTTATTCTCTTACACACAAAGCTCAGCCGTATTTTACATCCAGCCTAACATACATGTTCAAACATTATCATGCAGTTACATCCTGTCAATAATTATAGTTTCAAAATATATGTCGATAAAATTGTAGTCAACTTCGGCCCTCGAAGTAACTATCCATTATGTAATAATCATGTAAAAGAAGATTTATACTACATTTAAGCACAATGTCTAATATATGATTCACATTTTGACGTAATGCTTTATCCCAATTTCATAAAATTGAAAAAAAAAATTGTTTTCGTTTGTGTTATTTCTTTGAAGGCGCCCAATGTAAGAAAATATACCGTATTTTTCAGTCAGTTAGCAGAATACGCTCACTTTGTAACAGTGATTAATCTATTGGAAAAAAAAAGAAATAACTTTTGCAAAAGTACGTCCTCTTATTATCAGAAGAAGTCAGTCGGGGGTGTGGTCAATACATAAAATACATTATTATAAAATATTATGTTTATTGCTATATTATATAAAATAGTATTTTATATATTGATAGCACCTCCAACTATCTTCTTCTAAAATTAGAATCTATGATCAACTATATCCACACCAGTACGATCTTTTATTTTATAAATACATATATTTATATAGATTATCAAGGATTAACTACACAAAAATAAATAAAACAAAACAAAAAAATACATTAAGTGGAAAATCATGACTACACATAAAGTGTAGAGTAGATGCCCGCGCAAGTCTTACAAATCCGGACTTACTATATTATTGAGGTGGTAGCTTGAAGAAGTATCTATAGTCGAAAACGATCTTCATAGAAATAACTACGTAAGTTTTATAAATGAAGTAACAATCAGCTTTCATTTATTTTTGTATTCATTTATTTTTGATACTTTGTTTCACAGTGTTAGAGTTCTGGGAATTTGGTGATGATGAAAAAGAAATACAATGTAAACAAAACAAAAATTTACTTCTGAATCAATTATAACACTACACATACTGGCATAAATTAACAGATGAAAAATTTATTAAGAAGATTACAAACAAAAACAGTGTTGCCAGGAAGATTTACAATATTGGTGATAGTTATTGTTAATAACCTCCACCCCCTTCTCCTACACATGCGGCATTGGTCTCCAACACACAGGATAAAAAAGAACCAACGTAATAAGTACCAAAGATGAATAGTGGTCATACACCCTTTTTCTACAGATCATATAAAATAAAAAAATATATTTGAATAAGTATAATGAAAACAAAAACTGTACATTATTTTATAAAGGAATATTTCGAATATTAACTGTTCGAAATTGTATGATCGATTAACTAAGATTTTACCTCTAAAAAGGCACAAAAAGGAAAAAAAAATAACTTAAACGCCATGGAATCTTTATGTGGGTAATGGGTCTTTAATATTTTGTTATTCAAACAGATCTATTATCTCCATACATTTTGATAACAATTCAAAACTCCTGTGTGCGATACTGCAAAAAAAAAAAAAAAATAATAATAATAATTTTGACAACGAACATCTTTTTTCCAGCAATCACCTAAATTCATCTTGCGAGATTCAGATATTAACAATATTTTTGGGTAAATATGAGTTTTCATAATTATCCTAATCATAAAACGAATGAATTACCATAGAAACAAAAGATCGGTACACATACTTACCTCCCTGGAACAGCTCCTACTCGTTACTATAATCTGTAAACACAAGTGGAAGCAGACGATGACCCAGATAAGTTTGTCTAAGAGGGCGTAATAAGATACACCAGCGCCTTGCTTGGCCATGGAGAGAATTTCATAGGACCTATACGCCCCTGACAAGGAAAATACAAAAGAAGTGAGTATTATGATGACTACACGGATCCCATGGATCTTGTTAATGAGCCTTGAACACATGGACAATATATTGTGTATCAATACGAGCTTTTCTATAGTTTTTATGTTCTGGGATGGAGACATCTTCCATTGCAAAACCGCTCGCTTGCAAACAGAGAACAGGATGTCCACAGTTCCAAGAACAGTCGTGTACCAATGCACAAGGACTACCATGTTACCGAGAAGAATGTGTTTATACACAGTTTTCATTAGGGATTTCAAAAAACTTCTATGGCTTTGTACATCATTCTTCCTCAGCCTTACAAAGAAGGCCCCGACTGTAAGGCAACTGTTGAACATGAGATGTCTCAGGCTGTCCTTGTAGTCCACCCTCTGTCCCAGTTCGAGTATTCTTGACTCTGCGACATCCAAGAAACGGGAAAGTCTGTTCAAGTCTTCCAATTTGTTCAACAGTTCAAAGATGGACAGTAAAGGTACACAGTTCAATAAGATACTGGTAAATCTGTATATTTTTGCCGTCTGAAGTATATTATCCGGAAATATACCCTGAATCATACATAATATAACGTTAGTGACAGTGTAAGCGCAGCATATGATCGAAGAGAGTGCTAACATTGGAACGGATACGTGAAGGTTTCGCGACCCATCGGGCGAAAGAGGGAACAAAGCGAAAAGTTTTAACGGTTTCGTCACTTCTAACGTTTTTTGTCGAACAAATGTTGCCATGTTTTTCTTTGAACTGAAGGGTAAGAAGGTCGAAGCTGTCAGGGAGCCAAAAAGCTCTGTCAACAGATAAGGACTAATGTAAGTGTGGCCGAGAAATGATTACATTGATCCTCGCTCGACTTGTTCGATTTCTATATATTGCGTTCTTGCTGTTGATGTTTACGTAAACTGCTCTGTAATGGATTGTTTGACATTTTATATTAATTTATCATTGAGAAATTAATATAAAAGAGAGATTAATATTCACGTACAGGGTAAATAAATTAATAATTAAAATAGAAAATGATCTATTCAACACTAAGTCTCCTAAATGTAATTGAATTTGTTTTCTGGATGATAACCACAACGGTATTAAACTTCTTGACATTAATGCATCATGTGCATGACGTAATATCATCAACATAATTTGATGATAAATTAACATATATATATATATATATATATAATATATATATATATATATATATATATTAATCTTTTGGCCCTTTTTAAAAAGATATCTCAAAGCTTTAATTGTTTATTTAATTCAATTCAGGAAAATAAATTGTTCTAAAAAACTTGTCTAAAAATTAAGGAAAGTGAAAACGACGCGATTCGTACCTCTCCTCCTAATAATAACATCTTAATTTTTGTAAACTAGGGAAGTAGCCTCCGTCCTCCTAACGGCGGACCAACCCCCATTTTACAAATTGTACAACTTTAATTTACACGTATCATTTACTTTAGATTGTATAATTTTTTATCAACAAAAAGTAAACTGAACGAAATCACAGTTCGGTAAATTTTTAATTACTTTAAAAATCTATATTATATATCGCACCTTATTGCCAATTTATATTATTATATAACTACAATTATTCTTATTGCTAATTCGTTACCATAGTATATATTCAAGTTGTACAGCTTCATATAAGCCCATCAATAATTTGAGCCTTTTATTTCTAATATTGTCATTTTACGTTATATTGTGCTTCCTTTTCTATTTCATAATAATTATAATTATATCACTATATAATATAAAGTATATTATATATAATTTAGTAATTAATATATTGTATTCAAGGTGAAATGTCTAGATAAAAAAAATTTGCCATCACCTAGGTAAAATCTAATTCCAACTTCCAGATGAATACCGTTTCTCGTAAAAATTTTAGTCTAAATATTTTGTATTAGGAGAGTAGGACGAGGAGGAGCTTGACACATATTTAATTAAATTAACAGCTGTATAATTTGTAAAATAATCGCCTCATAAGTTGAGCTACTGTTATCTTCTAATCTCCTAATACTAAGAAAATATTAAAATATGAAAGTTAATGAAACTTTTTTATATAATAGAGAAATGATATAGTTAAAATATAAAACAATTTCAAAGAGTTGTTACGTTACTAGACTCGTCAAATCCCAGATGTTTTGACTTGTCAGTGTCTCTATATGTATTATACTTTTAATATTATAATATTCTGTTTACCAATACCACACTATTTTATTATTATTGATTAAAAACAACATTACAATGCCTGGGAATTCCTAAGAGGAATTTTATAAGACAGTTTATGAGTCTCGTGGGCGGGGTGGCCGAATAGGCTAACTCGTGTGCAGCGCATCGCCAGATAAACAGAGTAATGAGATATTGAGAAAGTAGGAGTTCGCGATCCGGTGCCGGAAGGGATTTTAAATTCCCCGCCAACCACCAATAACAATGCCATCCACCCATCTTGCTCTTGAATGGCTTTTCTTTCATCATAGATTGGTTCTCTCAGCAGCTATTTTGGTATTTCATGGTTTTTTAACCCGACCACATACTCACCTCAGCCGAATCAGTTTAAGAGAAATAATTAACTCAGTTAATTAAATATAAGATATAACAGGTTGATGTGCAAGGGAACCCATTTCAAAATTGTAGTCATCCAAGTATTCGACGCAAAATGTTTTTTCGTAAATGCCGAAGTGTTTGATCTTTGGATTTAGTTATTGGTTATTACATGACCCTGCTGTACATAATAGACCTGATGGGATCAGAGTCTGATAAAAATTTATTTTAATTATCCTTTACAGGGCTTAATTCTAATATGCGCCAATGGTCCGAAGCAGGCACTGTTAGTGGCACGTTTTGAGGATATGGCTCATTACCTTATGTGAGCATTGAAACAACCCATACAAATTCAGATGCCATCTCAAACTTATATTGGTAGCCATCAAACCTTGGTATCATCTCTGCTGACGTTGGGGTCTCTTCCGCTACCATTTGTTTAGTTTTCGTGGCATCAATCTCGAATCCGGGCCTTCAGGGAGAGCCTAAAGCTTCAAGTAGTGCACCATCTATATCTAAATCATCGCCATAAGCGAGGATTATCACAAATCTATTAAATATTGTTCCACCGATTTGGATCCTTGCTTCCTCAATTAAAAGGTTAAACAGAAGACATGTAAATCAAGGGAATTACTTGTGATTAATCACTTTTAATTTTAAAATCACAGCGCACATACTTTATTGTGATCTTAACCAGCCTAATCAATTTTACGGAAATATCTACGTGATGTATTGCATAACTGGGTTCCTCTTTATAGATCATTATCTCGTCCTCATTTGGTCTTCAAGTTGAATATTTGATCCGAAGTAAGTTTCTTTCTTCGAAATCTAAATTCGAACTTTGCCGTCACAATCCGAACAAACTACTTAAATACTGCTAATAAAATCAAATTAATAATACGGATTATTATTTAAAATAATATTGTCTTTAAGATTTTTTTTTACAACGCAATGACAATTTTAGTCTTTATAGCATTTCCTTTAGTCTATATTTGTTTTGCTCATGATGATAAACTTTATTCATGAAAGAGCTATTATTAAAAAAATAATAATTTTTAGTTGATGAAAATTTAGTGACAATTTTTGCGAGAGTAATTTAAAGAACGAATCAATAACTGAGGGGGAGAACGACTAAGCTGACAAATGGAAGGATAATGAAATGTTGTTATCGTAATCTTATTCCTCATCTAACACCGAAAAATTGATCTTACATTTCAAATACGGAAATGGATTAGATTAACAATTTTATTTGTCGCGCTTTCCTAGAAAATAATTGACATTTGGGTCGTTTTCTATTCCTTTAATTAATAAAAAAAAAAATTATATTTATTTTTATATTTTCCGACGTTTCGGCCCGAAGTTCAGGCATTCATCAGGGCTGTTCAATCCAAGAAAAGTTGAAAGACCACGCAGAGGTCTTAAGTTAAGGTTTTTCCACTTTTCTCGGATTGAACAGCCCTGATGAAGGCCTGAACTTTGGACCGAAACGTCGTCAAATATAAAAATAAATATAGTTATTTTTTTTTTTATTTTGACTGATCACCGTTACCACCTTTCTCTCCGATTATTCACTACAGTCAACCATCAATCCACAATAAATAATAAATATCTTATTCTCAAGAGAACACAGATAGGCCCGAAACAAATTGTGATAAGGGAGGCAGAGTAAACCAACCTGCAAGTAAATGAAATAAAAAAATACATAATAATGAGCTGAAAACACTATCCCAGTATCTATTTTGAGTCACAAAATTTGTTTGAATATCTCTTGAATCTGTTCCTTCGCATTTTCTTTCAGTTTATTTATTTCTATACTATTTCCTTAGTTTTATGTTACGGAAATAAATAAATTAAATTAGATATTAATTTATTAATGTATAGATAGGATTTTTATCTATTCCGTTTTTCATAAAACTTTCTTGACTGAATTTGCCAAATATCGAGCTTTGGGGCTCTAAAAATCCATCGAATTCCTCTCATATCCAATCCTTACAATCCAAAATCCTTCGTAAAATCAATAATGCTCCCTACTTTGTCACAAATAAAATCATCCATAATGACCTTATTGTACCATATGTTTCCGATTTAGCTCAATCCAGATACATGTCCTTTCATAATAAACTTCTGAACCATCCGAACTCTCTCGTTTCCAACCTTGCTTCCCTATCTATTCCTGGTAACCCTCCGAGGCGTCTGAATAGAAGATGGCCTCGGGACCTTCTAATATAGAAATATAACTGGAATGCTACCAATGGGTAGTTTCTCTTCATGTTGTACATGCCATGTTACTTGTTCATATTTACTTGTTGTATTTATTATTAATTAAAGTTGTAAATTTCTTTAATAAAAAAATAGAAATATTGTGAAACGAACAAATATAATATTGAATATTTAAAATTAATTTACATACATGTTTATACAGTTGTAGCTAATTGTTTTATAAATAATGTTAAAAAATTGAAAAACATTTTTGATTTATTAGTTTGCACAATACAGATCATTCTGCCGCCATCTTGAAAGAAAATACTTTTAATAGTGTTGAGATGGTTGACCGAGACGATAATATGAGAGCAGTTGGTCGAGGGGTGCGGTCAAATGAATACTATATATCAAAATAGTATTTTATTGCTTACGCCGACATTTCGATCCAGTTTGTTGGTTTTCATAACTTGATGATATCAAGTTCACAATAAAATACTATGAAAATACTATAAAATAAAATACTAATAAAATACTATACTATAAAATACTACAATAAAATTCCCCGAAAGTACTTTTAGGTTAAGTATGTCATATACGTAAATTTAATGAGCAGCAGAGAGAATACTTTAAGTTTTACTGAAATCGGTATATCCTTCACAATCTATAGCTACAAAATTTGTCGACCACTATCTTGAAAGAACAGATAACACCGGGGATCTTTTTCGGGTGCACTGTAACATTGATAACCTCAAAACAATCTGTCCAGAAGTCCCTATGAGAAGTCCCTATTATTTTTTATTCGATTTTCAGATTCTGCTTATCTTAAGACGCAAAACCTCAAACTTTGTAAAAGGGAGGTTAACTTTTTTTTATCAAAGGCAGTCATTTACAATGGTTGACTATTGAAAATAATAAACTAAAAATAACAAAGCAATTTTTTTTAAGCTGATTTTAATCATGGTACCGTTCCCGTTCGCATAGCTTTAATTTATCAAGAAAAGTTTGACTATTATATTTTTCCTAACTAATTTTCAGAAACATTATTGTAATTTTTTCTTTTCTTTTTTCACCTTCATAATTAAAGTTGTAAGAATTTGTTTAAATTTGGTAGGCAAGCCGTGTGAGTGGACAAACCAGATTTTTTTCTTAATACTATGAAATAAACTGATACGATTATAGTGCCAACATACTAAGAGTAACTTCATTTGGCTGAGATTAACTTGACCTGAAGAAAGCCTAGATAATTTTTACTAATTTGGTAAGAATGATTACATACATTCTTATGTGCACCTTGAAACGTATTATCATTTATTTTTATTATTATTGACTCCTTCATTTATACCCAAACAGTCTTCTAAAGATAGTCTTAATCATTTATTATGATTCTTGGTTGTGGTGAAGGTTAAATTTGATTGGAAGAAAAAAAAATTGTCCAACGAGACAATTAATTTGTTTTTTATAAAACGTTGGGTGATTAAATCTACATGATATTATTTAAATATGATTATTGCATTTTGTTATATTGGTGTAGTGTTATATTAAATTATTTTGATATTATGGGTAACATACAAACCTGCTTTGTGGTTCGATGACAGGAATATACTGGAAAAATCACCATTGAGGAAAACATTGTTATCCAACCCATGTATACGGGCACCATCTTGGATCTGTGTATTGACGCATCATTTACGACGTAGTCTGCAATGAAAAACATGTTGATGGTCAAGTTGAAGAAGGATACGAAAGAGATGAGGAGTAACTGCAAGCTGAAGGCTTCGTTCAACGAAGTGAGGAGGGACACCATTCGGTCGTAGAGCAGTACGTAGGTGTAGAGGCGGCCGCTGCTGATGGTGATCTTTGACTTCAGCGCCATCACCAAGTGCTCCAGCTTGGTGCTCACCAACTGAACCAAAGCCACGAAGGGCGCGGTACCGACGACTATGATCGAGATCATGCCGTAGTAGTAGCACAGAGCTAAGGACACGGTGCCATCGAGAGGGGTGTTGCCGTTCCAGTCCATGTAGGCAGTGACCGCGATGGCTATGGACTGCCACAAGAAGTAGCCGAGGACCATCAAGAAGCTCGGTTGTCCTCTAGTCTCGCTCTTCAACTTATCCAGGATGAGGAACACCAAGGAAATCTTCCTGCGGTGGATCAAGATGCACCCGTTAAAAATAACGATACAAGCATACATCGCTAGCATCTGACATCTGAAAAGGATATTGCGAAGCAAGGAATTCTTAGCAAGGCGCGGAGGATCGAATACTACAAACGCAGCTTCGACGGTACAGACTAAAATTATTATCAAGGAGTAAGTGAACCACTGGAAAGAAACTCTTTTCCTTACATGATCGTAAGGAAAGACGCCTAGAAGCTTAGTCAGCAGTAATATTATATTGAAAACAGATTCAGATGAAAAGTACATTTTTTATATTCAAGGAAGTAGAGAGTCTAGGGGGGTATCAAATACTGAACGTAAATGGACTTCGACCGGTTAGAATGTCTCTGATGTATCGACTCCGAAACTCCATTACGGTAAGGGAGTTTATCTTCAGACCATCGCGTAATTATGTTTGCGTGATTCGTAAATTGCAGCGGTTAACGATGCGCAATTCCACAGTCAGGTCAGTGACGAACCAACACGAATACGTTCATTCATCCACCATCATCAGCCAGAAAACTGTGTTTATATTTTACTTCCTTATCAGATTTTATCCACAAACAAACAGCCATAGGTCGAGATTATCTAGAAATTAAATAATATGTTTTTTATAGATTACCACTTACACCAATCGTCAATTTTAAACATCGAGAAATCTATTTTTAATATTTACACAATATTTTGTTTATGTATCTCTGTGGCTCCTAGGCCCACATTTTTGTCTTTTTGTATTATTCTAAAGGGAATCGTCCCAGAATAAATAAAGCATTGCTATTATTATTATTATTACCTCTTTATTCTCCACATATACAATGGTGTTTATATGTAATAGTTGGGGACCCATTAGGTCAACCAAAAATTATATTTGTATATTTTCATAATTATCTAACATTTGTGAACTTCCTGACTATACTCGCCGTTCCCAACAACACCGCCTGTTGCATTCTTTCGATCGTCCGAGAGGGCAGTTCTAGTTGTCGCAGAGAAGATATAGTTTCTTCCGGTATCAGTCCGTTGCACGAGATTACAATTGGCAGAATTCGGGTTTCCTTTAAATGATATAATTGTTTGATCTCTTCAGCCAATTCTACGTACTTTCTCTTTTTTTCCGCTACTACCTTGTGTAGGTTATCATCAGAAGGAACTCCAATCTCTATGATAAATTATTAATTATGATAATTAATAATTATGATATTATTATTATTTCCATTCTTTATTCTTTATTATTATTATTATTATTATTATATATTAAATAGTTGACCGTAGTTAATAATAAGGAAATAGTGAGGGTGGCGATCGAAGTTGACTAATAATCTTGGCAAAGTTACAATGTAAATAAGATCAGCGTGTAACCGGATGAAGGATGTAAAATGTAGCGAAACGCTACCATTCAATAATTTTTTGTAGTAAATTGTAGTGATCTTAACCACCACTCTGACCATCTTGTCTATGAATATTTTCTATAGTATTTTAGTCCACTATATGTAAAAATGGATTTATGTTATGTACATTTATAATTAACAATCATCCATTACTTACAGAGAGAGGTTTAAGTTGATTTGTTTAGGATAGTTAAATTATTAATTATTGATATGTGAGTAATATACCTTAGAAAATTAGAAACAAATTTAAAATAGTTTTGATAATTAAAATTATAATCGATGAAAATACTTGACTTCTCAAGTAAAATGATTTCGATTACCGAATACATACACTTTAGAAATTTATGATAAGGTTTCTAGGAGAGGATCAGAAGGTTTCACCATAAAAACTATAAGAAATATAGACAATACTTATATTTGTGTAATATCAAATTTAATCTATCAAACAATGCGATTAATGTAATTTGATTATAATTGATCTTCTAAAATGAGGCAGGAACGTAGTATTTGTAACCACCAGGACTGCACACTAGTCCTGCTGACCAAACTGAATCAGCATGACCAGGTAGGATGAAGTTGCTGCCACCATCTAAGTATCAATTAATATCCATTATACAATAATATTTTATTACAATATAATTTTTTACAACTAAAAAGTAACTTTGCTATTGTTTCAATCGATTAAAAGAAGTAGCAGAATCAGGATTTAATTTTTTTCGGGGGAGAGGGAAGCAGGCTAATATAAAAAAAAGTAAAATAAAAAAATTAATATTAATTAAAAAAATATTCCAAAATAAATATATATAATTAATAAATAAATTAGAAACAATTTTTAAATGAAATAAATTTTAAAATAAAAGAATAGTAAATCAAATTTGAAATTTTTAAATATAAAAAAATATTAAATATTCATTAACTTAAAAAATATGTATTTATTTTTTGTATTTTTTAATAATTTATTTATTTTATTAAAAAAAATTGTTGATTTAATTTTATTTTTTAAATATTTTTTTTTACTTAACCTTTTTTTATTTATTTATTTTTTCATTTTTATTAATATTTTAATTTTTTCTTAAAATATCAACTAAATATAATAGAAAATCGATTTTTTCAGACGGAAATATCTTTCTTCATAATGACGATAAATTATTTATTTGATACTTTATATGACTATCGATAAAAATTGGCGGAAGAAGCTTCTATTGCTTAGAGAATACATGCGTACCTTTTCTAAATAATACAAAACTAACTAGAAACTCATGTCCCTATTTGAAGTAAGGAAATACATCCCACGTTAAACTTCGTAATATTTTTAATGAACTGTGCGTTTAGAATATTAAGAAGTTTAATGTGGGATGAATTTGTTTACTTCAAATAGCGGTATAAGTTTCTGATCTCTCCCTCTCTCTCTCCCCACTCTCTCTCCCTCTCTCTCTCCTTCCACTCTCTCTCCCTCTCTCTCTCCTCTCCCCCCCCCCTCTCTCTCTCTCTCTTTTCCTCTCCCTCTCTCTCTACCTCTCCTACTCCCTCTCCCTCCCCCTCTCACCCTCTCCCACACCCTCTCCCTCACCCTCTCTCATCTCTCTCTCACTCTCTCCCTCTTTCGCACGCACGCAGGCACGCACACACACACTCACTCTACGGATAACTTACCGAGTGCACCATAGAAAAGTCTAAATTGAAGAGACCACAGGCCGTTAATGTGACCTCCCTCTTCATGGAGAGATGGAGGAGGAGTTTCTCCTGCAAAACAAGATAATTATAGCAAATTTTAGAATTTAAGGTTCTCCTGCAAAACATGATAATTATAGCAACGTTTAGAATTTAAGGTTCTCCTGTAAAACATGATAATTATAGACACGTTTAGAATTTAAGGTTTTCTAATTAAGTAAATCAAAAGAAGTATATCGACAGATTACGCACTTTTGGAATTATCGTGATTGTTGGCATTACAGACCTCGTAGAACTTTTGCTGCTTTAGTGCCAGTTGCACAATTCACGGTTTTAACCAAGATTTAGTTATCTGACCTTAATCTACCAGTAGCTCAGCTCTGTAATCACTACTTTCCGTCATTCGTAAAAAGTTAAATCTAAACCAAGATATAGAAAGGAAGTAGTAGGTTACTAATATGCTTTTCTACAGTTCTTTGTTGTGTGAGCTTCTCAATAGTGTCAATTATCAAAAAATAACTATCTAAATCTACCACGAAATTCAACATCAGACAAAATAGACAAAATCCGAGGACGATATTCTTTTTTCTCCATTGGTAAAAATGCAATTAAATCGAGAAAATCATCGTCAACTGTGAGGCAGTCAAAATCTAGCATATCCCTTATTGCAAGAGAAAAGATAAATAAAAATTATCAACACAAAGGATACAGAAAAAACACCGTGGAAGGTTATCATAACTGCCAAGGGTAACCCAATGTAACTAAGTTTATTTTCGAAGTAAAGCTTAAGCGCCTACGGTCGACTGATCAAGATTAAACTTGGTTTAATCTTAAATAACGCTTAATCTAAGCTTAACTGATTTGGAGCAACTGGCCCTTGACCAATCTTTTCCATCTCTACCTATTTTGGACCATTTCTTTCCAGTTATCTGAAGTGCAGCTCTATTAGATCTTTGTTGATTCGATCTATTCATCTCGTTTTTGGTCTTTCACGTAGTCCCTTGCCTACAACCGAGGCATTCAATGTTGTGTAGAGGATTTCAGATAAATTGCTCCGAGCTATAGCCCCACCCATCTTAATCTCCTTGTCTTCATATCATGAGATATTGATTGATCAAATTCTGTAAGCGATCCTTATTGGTCTTTCTCCTCTATGCGTTAGTACTCTGATCCCAGATAGTTCCGGTTATCGTGTGGAGAATTATTTTCTCAAACCTTTCAATACTTCTTTTTAGTTTTTTTTTTTTTTGTGAATTTCCTGATGGTTTCATAAGTGTCCAGAGTATTTTTGGTTTGGCAGAGAACTTTCGTTTTTTTTTTTCCTTTACTACCTTTTCGGATTGATAAGCACAGCTATATTTCGGCTCAATCAATACGGCCTTATTAACGGCGTATATTAACCTTTTAAGAATTCGGTCATCAAGTCCAACAATTTTACCCTCCCATTTTCTTCATCACAATGTAATCTCTTCAATAATATTTACTAGGTATACTCAACGCAATCCAGCGTTGCGTAGTTGTCTAAATTCTCTGGTTAACTCATCCTTCTTTGGTCCGAATATTCTTAGCAATACTTTGTTTTCAAAATCCTTAATATCCTTTAAGAATATAATGACTATGAAAAGTCACAGGTGATGAACATATTATAAGAGAGGTTATTTCATTTTTTATGTATTCTGTGTCTTTCTGTCGTCGGATCCATGTGACGGGAATAATACCTAAGTCTGTTAATTTGTTGTGATAACATTTTCAGAGATTTGTGTTTTGATGAATAAATGGTCCTATGTAAATTTCCTCTAATTCTTTCCACTTTTTCGCTTAGCCTTATGTTTTATCTTGACAAGACTATACTTCAAAAACTGCTTCTTCAGTAGATTTTATTCTCAAACGATAAATCATATGCTTTGAAATACAGGTAACACCCAACTAATAATGATGTTGATTAAGGTTTAAAGGGGACCCTACACGGTAATTCATGAATGAACGTCACAAGAAGTTCCAAGATTGCCCGCTATCGCTTTGATCATGAAGACCATTTCAATCATCACTGGTCATTACTTATCGTTGCTGATTTAGGTTAGATCGTTGCTGACCAATTTAGCGCAGTTGTAAACAAAGAAACAGCATAGATATGCTTATTTGGACATTGTCATTTATAATATTGGGCATGAAGAGAAAAACGGAGATATAATAATTACTTCCTAGTGCCTGAAAATCGTTTAAACCAAAGTTAGTCCAAAATATAAGTCAACTAAATACAAAAATCTATGAAAAGTATTGCGAAAATAATCAATTAGTTAAGAAAAATGGAAAAATTAATGGCAAATAAACACAACAGTTAAAGATTTTTTTCGTAAATTGTGAAGTTTCCACTTTTTTTTCTTTCCAATTTATTGCCTACTTGACTATTTAAAGAAAAAATAGTTGAAAATGGTTAATAATAATATAGACTAGGGATATAAACAACTATTTACTTTTATGAAATTATTTACTTAATAACGAGACCTAGGTAAACTAACCTATCTAGTAGTTAGGTCTCATAGAAAATCGTTTTGACAAAAGTTAGTAAAATATAAGTCTACTACTTACAAAAATTAAGGAAAGGTATTATGAAAATAATAAATTTGTTGAGGAAAATGGGAAAAGAACTGATAAATATACACAACGTTAAAGTTTTTTTTTTCCTAAAGTAAATTGTGAAGTTTCCTTAATTTTTTTTTTTAATTTGTTGCCCACTTGACTATTTAAAAGAAATAGTTGAGGATGGTTTAAAATTATAAAAAAGGGATATGAAAAATTATTTAACTATTTACATATAATGAAAATCAGAAATTTATAATGGTTGTGAGACCTAGGTAACCTAACCTATCCAGCAGTATGGTTAGTCTCCCCACTACTTTTATCCCCTCCATTTCTCGTGAATGAACCTTTGATTTCCGGATGTTCGGAAATCCGCAGCGCACCACCATCAGTACTTCATTCACTACCTTACACGACAATTCGGAACGTCATTAGTGCGATTCCGATTGACCGTGTAGGGTCCTCTTAAAGGAAAACGTTTTTATTAAACTACTATGTACTTACATACATTACAAAATTCTCAAAAGTTTTAAGTAAATATTAAAATTACTTACATTTCGCATAAGTTCTGAAGTTTTATCGTTGATGATCAACTGATAGAGGAGGTGGTTGAAATCGTTCGTCTGAAACCAAAGCAATATTTTCAAAAATTTATTGTTGTGAATGTTAGGCACTGCCATATAATAAAAACAATTTTATAGTTATGCGTTTATTTATGAATTAATATTAAGACAGATTAAGTCTATGTTCGAAATCTAAGAGGCTGTAGCATTAACCAACATCAGTGTCGCGAGGCCATCTTCTTTTCAGACGTCTAGGGAGAGAGATTGCCAGCAAACGAAGAGGTTGTAAGATAATAAACTAGTGCATTTGGATGGGCCTGAAATTTATTATGTTAGAGTATATATAAATGGATTGAGCTAAATTGGCAGCATATGGTATAGTAAGATCATTAAGAATAATTTTATTTGTAATAGTATACTTTACGATGGAATTTGGACTGCAAGGATTGGGTATGAGAGGAATCTGATTGTTTAGTGGAGCCCAAATAGAAAGCTCAACTCCGCAAGTCCAAATAGATCATGTTATTGTCAACTAAATAAGTCTTTTACAGTTAATTGGAATCTTGAGGGGTTTGACTAGTAAATGCTGAAGGGACAGGAAACGAAGAAAAAATAAATTACTATTTTTATGCTTTTAATTTTATTTTCACCTAAAAATTAATTAAAAAAGTTAATTTCATTAATTTAATTGATTAATCAATTAAAATTTAAAAAAGAGGAACTGACCAGACAATACAAATAACTGTCACACCTTTTGGACTACAGAAATCCACATACATAACAAGCCAATAATCTACACCACCATACTGTGACCGATTTGGAATTACGAAACAGAACTTTGGGGTTCCGCAAAACACGTCCATATGAACAAAATTCAAACCACACAGTCCAAAATACTTCGAAAAATTGAAAGTGCACCCTAGTATATTTGAAATTATACCATACACGACTACATGAATATACAAATAGTAAAACCCTACGTACATAACAAATACACCACATTCCATTCTTCAACTATTAATCATCCTAATCCACTTGTCCTCCCTCTTTCTTCCTCCCTGTTACCATCGGAACCTCAAAGAAGACTAAAACTGTAGTGGCCTCGGGATCTGCTCACAATATAAATGATTTTCAAGAAATAGCAGACAGAACGAGCGACAGCACAGTTGCTAGATGCGTTGTAACGCAGTTGCAAACATAATGTAAAATAAAATAAAATTTGCACCGTTTTTAATAAAAAAGTATTTAATTTTCCTGAGATGGGGATACATGCACCATCACCCTTGGAGGAGGGGAGATTGTACTCCTAATGTCATGAGCTGATAGATGATAATAATAATAGTATTTCAATAAACAGAAATAAGGTTTTGTCATAAACGGTGTTATATTTAAAATAATTAAATGAATAATGCAAGATGGTTTAATGGTTTAGTGGAGCCCCAAAATTCAACTCCATAACTCCATATAGGCCTTAGTATAGTCAAGTATAGGAGTCTTTTATAGTTAATTGAAGTGTTTGTCTAATAAGCGTTGAAGTAGCCGGAAACGTCTAGCAGTTTCGTGTCGTTTTAATCTTGTATTCGGATTCTAAGTAATACATTTGTCCAAATAGAGTCCTAGGTAGTGGATCTTCATCAACAGAGATAAGTGGGGTACTATTAAAGGATACTAAGGGATAGGAAGTCCTGGGAGTTTTGTCATAAAAAAAATATTGCTTTTTAAGATTCCCTTTAGGTGGGTCATCTTTTCAATATATGGTTGAGACAAACCTTTTCAGTGAGCTCTGACGACGAAGCTGCGATTATCCAAGATGTTATTAAAATGTACATCAACCACAACATTTTTTCCACCGGAGGTCGATCCGGCCCTCCATATAAGACAAACTTGATATCAAAGATTCTATGCAGATTTGGGTTATTGTACAAGTAAAATGTGACTACGGTAAGCCCCATGAAGTTTATGATCGTGACGATAGTGATGAGCAATCCGAAGGCGGTTTGCAGAATCTCGCTAACGTCGCAAAGCTTGCCGTGAGCTTCGGAAAGGATAGTCACTTTCTCTTGTTGATAAGACAGATGGATCGTTTTCTTAAGTTCATTCAGGGATTCGCAAGCATTCTGTAACCTATTTGATATCAGTCGAGCTAGAACTGAGAACTGAGAGGTGGTTAACCAAACATTTATGGTGATGATGATGAAAAAAAATCTAAAGGTATAAGTGTTGTAAATGTATGTTTGCCAGGCGATGAGTACAACGCTTAATAGAAAACAGAGGAAGTCGTGAAAGTCGTACTCTATCTTCAAGCGATTGTCTAGCATGGCGTCTACCTCTTCCAAGGCCTCTATAATCTGACGGACGGCGCGACCTCTCCAACGCGAAGTCCCTGCTGATATGACGAATAAGATAGGATGGGTGCTTAGTACGCATGCGAATAAAACTATTTCCATACTTCTAACGAGTTCTTCATCTATCGGCAATTCATAAAATAAACTGTAATTGATAAAGATTGTACAGTATCCAAGCAGAATTACAGCTACTAATGACAGAATAGTAACAAAATAGGAAGTGATATAATGTCCATTCTGCAAGATGAATGGGAAGCTTCCGATGGCAGTAGAGAGGTAATAAATAATACGTAAATATTTGTGGGTTGATAGTATGAATGTGCCACTTTTTTCGGGAATTACTTTTCTGGAACCCATCTTCTTATGGTCTGTGGGAGAATACAGAAGAAACTGAAAGGTTGTTGAGTGACAACCTCTCTAGAATCTCTAGGTCGATAGCCATTAGTAAAGAACAATGGAACTTCTAGTAATAAAATTCTTAATCAGATTGTATGCCAATCGTTTTTACTTTCACTTACCTCTATATATAGTTATATATTATATATATTACATATATAATATACTACAAGGGAAGGTATTGCGATAGCGAAAATTTTTGAAATTGAGTTTTCATCGGAAATACACATTTTGAGGTCCCCTGAGTTCAAATAACCAAGTCCCACAAATTGGTCTGTGTGTGTATGTGAACAATCTAGCTCAAAAACAAAAATTCGTATGAAACTGATATTACATATTTAAGATAGGTATATGGCTGGGATGTTACAGCGACTTTTCCCTTAAAATCGGCTTACCGGAAGTGCTACTTTATATCAACGGTGAAACACATTTTTACAATTTTTTCAAAAACGATTTTGATTAAACTCAGTGTATTAGTGTATAATTAAGTGGTATTTAATGTCATTTAGCTCTTATCCCCATTGATGTCACTTTACAGGGCTTTACTTTCATTCATTCATTATTGGCACATGTTTTTTCTCAAGTCTTCTTTCACTTGTCTATCCATCTTGCCTTCCATCTTCCCCTTTGCCTTCAGGCTTTACTTTATAGTTCTATATTTCAACATTGCAAATCACCTACTCTGGAATCAACTTACTCACTGCCTGTATAGATATAACTTTTCCAACTAGAAATATCACTGAAATGATATTACTCAAAAATGTTGAAATTGTAGTTAGTCATTCTGTCAATTGAAGGGCTCAGAAAGTGAAGTTATGTGGTTTATAAAATCGGATGGATTAACTAGATTTTGATTCTCTACCGTCGATATAATAAATAGAGTTTTTATAATTTTAATGGTCTTAATAATTTGTTATCTGAAAGCTTTAAGCTTTAGTTTCGTTAAAATGCACTTCAAAAATTTTATAATAGCCCAGTATTGCCAGAAAATAATTCCCATTCAAAGTACAGCGGTAAGTGAAAGTTATGTGTTGCGCAAACTTTTTATTTTTTATTTCAGAAAGTAAAATTGATTACCAAATGTAAAATTAAAATGGCCATATCTGGGATTTATTGAAAAAGACCCTAAGTAACATAATAAATTAAATAAAAAGTAACATTATAAAATTAAATCGCTGAGCACTTTAATGAATTTTGTTTCAATCAAATCAGAACATTTTCTCTTATTGTTATTATACAAAAAATCCATATAATATTTCCTACTAAAATTTGGTCTTCGAATGTATTAAGATAAAAAAAGTGAGTTCCAGTAACCATTCTCATATATTTCTGATGGCCAATTAACAGAAGTATAAATAAATAATCTTTGAAAATATATTTAAAAAAAAATAGTAATGCAATCTTTAAAATGGAAACATAATATATTATGTGTTTGAATAGAGTCAGGTCATTTATGTTTAAAAGCATAAAAAAAGTCAAAACATATATTATATACATAAAAAAACAAAATTATATATTTGTATAAAATTGTAGACATTGTGTTGTATTTGCCAATAAGTCAGAAAAACGATCTGTAATAATGAATTAAGTTTTTTATAGATTGATCAGAAGCAGATATATATTTTTAATATCTATTATGTAGCATATTTATCAAGTCAAAATAATTAATGTTAAAAAGAATAATATAATATAACAAAATTATAATTTTATTGATAAGTTTACAGATATTTATCTCTATAATTGAGACTACTCCAGAAATTGTATCTGCTTTCATGAAGCCCTTCATTCATCTTAAAACCAGAATTGCTTATTTTCATAAAACGATGTCTTGTGGGAGTCCATGTAGGCCAAATAAAGTTACTTTCAGCTGATACAGGTTTTCTGAAAAATAAATAAACAATGTAAGTAACAAGCATGTTTCACCATGACTAACAGTTTCAATAAATTATAAATTTTGTCATCCTTAAAAGATTATGTGAATTTATTTTTTTCATATTACTTACCCATATTTGGCAAAATTACTCCATATTTTCACCAGTTTTATAGACAATTCGAGATCACTTCCCTTTAAGTTAGGGGCAGACTTCTTGTACCAAATGTATGGAACTTCTTCAGAGTGTCCTGCTCCTATTATTAAATGAATGGATTTTAGATTATTATAGCTCATTCTTGAACTCATGCACGCACGCAGTTATACACATACACTCACACATATAAATATACACAGAAATATTTATTTTTATTTACTTGCACTTGGATATGTACCGAAATCCTGGAGGAAATCATTAATAGGTTTTATTCCTAAGACTTGCAAGGAGGATTATAATGTTGCTAAAGCTTATCGACCTATAAGTCCAACCTCCTTTGTATTTAAGATACTGATATTTGTGTAGAAGAGGCATTTGATAGTACTAAACCGGAAGCAGTTTGTAAAGGCTTAGTAAACATATCTGCCCCCCCCTGGATTGATCAGTTGGGTAAGATTCGTACTAAAAAATAGAATTATTGTTGTTTCAGAAGAAGCAGTAAGATTGCAGGCACAGGCGGTGGAAGTCTTATTGTCATTGATTCAGCTACACCTATGGATAAAAGGTGATGCGTTTATGGCATTTTTAAGAATGAACTATAATAGACAGTGGGAAGTACCAGGAACACGCACCGGACACTTAGAAATAGCCAGGATGGTGTGAAGAGTTATTTAGAAAAAGACTTATCTATCTTACGGTACCTTTCCCGCCGCTTGATAAAAGCCTTGCTTTAGACAGTAAGGTTAGCTATCTGTACCCTAACATAATAGACTGGGAACAGGGTTTAGTAGAAACTCAGAAGGACTCCCTGTCCTGTTTCATTGATGGGTCGAGGAAAGACTCAACTAGTTTAACGGGTGCAGGAGTCTGTATAGAGAAGCTAAATATAGAATTAAACATACCATTAGGTAAACATACTACAGTATTTCAAGCAGAGGTGTTTGCTATACTTTTTTTTTTTTTGTTTGGGTCCTCAAGTTTAATGCTATATGGGGTTTTACCGGGCCAGGGATTGAGGGCAGGGATTTATTTATAAATGTTTTGGGCTCTTCAACAACTTGGGTCATTTTTGCCCTTTATTACAATTTGATCAACTACTATATACATAACGAAACTATATCTAACAAATACAATAAGGGCTGAGATTTAAAAGGCTCCCCCGGCACCGGAACTAGAACTCGTGACTATTTTTATCCAGTTATCTCATATATCAGGGTGGCGGTGCTGTGCGAACACGTTTTGCCCATTCGGCCTCCACCTATATTTTCTGCAGCCACCTGTCTGATAGTTATTAATTGTGAGAGTAATGGCATTACTATCTATTCGAATATTCAGTCGGCATTACTAGCATTGGAATTCCGCAAAGAGACCTCCACACTAGAACAGGAGTGTAAACAGGCTTTGGAGACATTGGTCTGCTCTCAGAGAGTGAAACTAGTGTGGGTTACTAGTCACAAGAGAATTAAAGGCAATGAAAAAAGCGATGCCCTCGTAAGGAAAGGAGTGGAATTTCCTATTATAGGTCCTAAAAATTAGCGGAATATCCAAGGAACATCAGTGGAAAGAAATACTTGATAGGATTTGGAAAAAGCAGGTAAGGAGTGGGGGGAATGCACTGGACTTAAGCAAGCCAAACAATTTATCAAAAGTGGTTGCTGGACCTAACTAAAAAGGAAATCCGACTCATCATCGGAGTACTAACAGGCAACTGCAGACTTAAATGATATTTAAAGATCTTTTTGTGATCCATTTGCATCGCTCAGATACAGACTTCTGGACACAGACAGAATACAAGTACACAAAGCTACCTCTATAAAATGGTTCAACCTTTTGCACTTTATTAGAAGAACAAAAAGGTTTGAGACAGAGTTGGAGGTATAATAGACAACCGTTGGTAGTATCGTCTTTTTGGGATTGGCAAAAAATACCAATAGGCCAACTTGGTGGACTTAGTCCTCCCCCACCAGTACCGGTACCAGCACTAGTGTGGTACAAACCACAACAAATTTTTTATAGGATACATCTGAATGACAACGATTTCAAAATAAATGTATTTTCTTTAGATACTCACCTACTGCTAAAGTTCTATTTTTTGGTGCATAGGTGTATTCACCAATATAGTCAAAATAGTAAAAATAGACATCTCCTGTGTGTTTGTTTGCTGTTTCCAAAATTCCAGCATAGAACCAACTGTCAGAATATGCCTAAAATATATGTTTACATGATCACTTTCTACAATTTAGAGATCTACCACATTCATAATGTAAGCTGTTAAGATGATAACTGTCACTTGAATAAACTATATATTTTCCATTTTTATCAATAATTGAACATTGAAAAATATGTAATCTGTGTAATATGACCGCATATGATTATAAAAACAAAATCATTCATTTTATCATCTATAACCAATCTTTCTGGTTCGAAATCTGATTTTAAATCATATGATCTAAACACACTTACATACATGGGTGCTTATTTATGACTATGTGTTTGGGTGTGGATGTATAATAAATAATAAATAATAATATAAAGCTCACATGAGTTACATTCTGCCAATCTGCAGCAGTGATTTCCTTATTGCCAAAATAGTATTGTTTAATCTTTCTTGTTACTTCATCTGGATTAGAAGCAGATGCAACATAGAGAAATGTTATTGGAGCCACCTTCTCAAAATTGTCATTATACCATTTGAAATCCATATTATATTCCAGGAAAACTATAAAGATATGTATTTAATCAGTTTTATATTTTAGGACCATTAAGAACTTTTTGTCTTATTGGAATAAAGATGTAATCTGACACTATAGTTTTGAATTGCTTTTTGTGGTTGTTGGGCTAGCAGATTCAATTTTTAAAATAGAATGCCAACATTAATTGATTTCAATGATCATTTTATTTTACAATTATGTAAGTTTTTATTTGATTTATAACAATCTCATTTCATAGACAATTTTAAAATTTTGTTGTTGGAACCCACATTTCTGAATAAAATTTATTAACATTTTTTATATTTTAGAAGATAGAATAGAGCCTGTGTTTCGTAAATCATGTTGTAGTAAGAGCTCCTGATTTTTAGTAGGGTAAGTTTGATTCCCACCTGAATTAATTAATATTTTTTTGCTGCTGTAATGTAAAGTGAATCTCGACATTCCCACTATGGTTAGGAATAAGAACATACTTCTGGACTGTCACCATGAGTCAGCAAAAAGAACTAATTGGTCCATATGCTGGATTAGTTAGAAAAAATTAACTATGCGGTCTCTATGAGGGACTTCAAATTAAGAAGGTATGTAATGTTAAAGTTATAGAATATTGCTAATGTTAGTGCAAAAGGTTGTATGTAACCCTTCCTGAAGGTGATATTTTGTAGTATGCAAAAGCAATAAATAGTCCACTACTATGGAAAATAGTATAGAGAAATAAAATATGAAATTATACTAATAAATCATATAGAAATAATCAGTTTTTGTTTTTTTTAAAACAACTCAATTTTTACAGATGACCTTTTGCACTAACAGTGGTTATATATGTTAATGAGAATGTAGCTGTTTATTTATCTAGTGCTTTAATAATTGCATCAGTATCTTAAAACAATTTATAATAATAATCTATTTGTTAACAGAAAATAATTTCATCAGATAAACATACAGATAGTGAAACTTACATTTGGTTCTCAGCAAGCCCTCTCCAGAAGTCATTCCAATCAGTAGTGGGACAGAATTATGTTCCCAGCTTGATAACGGCCCAGTAAGGAAGGCTTCTGAACTTTTAGGTTCTAGCGCTGGTTGAAATACCAACAACAATGGGTCAATTTGCCACTCCTGGAACAATAAATTACATATTTGCTTCTCATAATTATATATAAACCATAAGCTCAGTGGTGTAAATGATTTCAGCATAAACCCTGTGGTGCAGAGGCAAGAACCATCTAAGGGGCGGAACAGAAGTCAAGGAAAGAAAATAAATAATTCAAAGCTGTAATTTAAATTGTGGAGGGAGGGGAGGGCGGAGTTTCTTATTTCAACTGAGGAATAAGATGAGTATTACAAGGCTAAATAATCTAAGGATCGTGAGGGTCAAACAAGACTGGACCCGGGCTTCTGACCTTAATGTTACCAACAAGGACTGTCCTTAAAAATTATGAATTTTATCCTTATTTTTTAGGTGCTACATAAAATTTATCAAAATCACTCTAAAACATAATTATCAGATACCTCATTATGATTACAATAAATAAGTAAATAATTAATATAAATTAATATTATTATTTTTAAACAATAATCGATTTTACAAAGATCATACTGCTTTCACAATTTTATGTCAAAAATGAAAAATAATTTTAACAAGATGTTTCATTTTATCGATATTATGAACTTTGAGATTTTATTAACCATTTTCAAATTAATCTAGAATAAAACATCAGTCGTAAAAAAAAAACATATTTTAAAACTAAATAGTATACTAATCTTTGGTAGTATTTTTTACAGTAAAATTATAAATTTATTTATTTTCTTTTTCCACATTTTATCACTAATATTTTGCCGTTTGTTTACGAGGATTGTTAAAAGGTAAAATAATTGTAAAAAAAATGGCAACATAAAATAAACCAATTTATAGTATTACCGCAACAAGCTCTACGAAAGAATTTTTTTTTTTTATAATCTATTTATTGAATAATAATACAATCACGCACTGCTAGAGGGCTATAAGTATTAGGGCTAAAAGTTCTCTTTCATACACTATATACAAATAATAGAGAAATAAATATAAATATAAAAAGTAAATAAATAATACTTATGAAGAAAGTAAATAAAAAAAAAACAAATAAAATAAAATAAAAACTTCTTAACACAATCATACCTAACGAAAGAATAATATAAAACTATATACTTTTTTAAATATGTTGTTTTTTCTGACCATTGTTTTATTTTAGATTAATTTGAAAATGGCTAATAAAGTCCAAAAAGATATATATTAAATAAAAACATTTCATAAAAAAAGATCGTTTACTGTTGAAATAAAATTGTGGGAGTAGTGTGATCGTTGTAAAATCTTATTGATTCAATGTAATAATTAGTTTTACATTTTTTTAAATCAAATATTGTTATTGTTAATTATCATTAGATCCTTCTTTACTAAAATAGAAATTATATGAAGTATGGGTGCTATAAATGATTATTATTAAAATTTAAATAAATGAGCTTTTTTCCTAAAAATGGTAATGTTAATTCTGAGTTGAATAGATCAATTATAATTTTTTCCCCCATTCAAATTGTTTTACAGTTTTTATAACAATATCTAAAACTACTTAAACCCATTGAGCAATAATTATAATTAACTTAACATTTGTTTTGGTTGTTTTACTTGTAAAGAGATTGTAGAAAGGGATTAAAAATGAAATTTTTTCACAAACAGTTACTAATGTACAATGAAAAAACAACAAAGGTAATGTCATAATTAATAATCATTCATCAAAACAAACTCCATTTATTTAATTTTTGTGAAAAATTGATGTATAAATTTAAAGCAGCCGAACTTCATATAATTGTTGTCACAGTAAAGAATGGTCTATTGATAGTTATTAAAAACAACATTTGATAAAAAAAATGAAAAACTAAAGTAGAGAAAAATTTTTTGTACAAAAAAAGTTATTTTTAATACTCTTAAACCTCGAGATATAAATATAAAACAACAAAATTTCATAATGTTTTTGTTGATATAAAAATGCAACTTCTAAGAATGTTGTCCAATGGAATATAATTTTTCATTCCATCCTATTCCACAGCCTCTATGCCTTAATGTGGTGCATAGTTTGCATTAACATTACTTACACCACTGGTTCTTGACTTGAATAAACTGGCAAATGAATTTTTCCATTTGATGAAAAGATGAGGGCTTAAATAAAGAGCAGTTAAGTTAATAATTCAGAGTTAAATAAGTCTGTGCATTTGTTACATACATACCTGAACTAATAGTTGTTTATGTTTAGGTAATATTATTATTAAAGTGCTATAGTCGAAATGTGTGAGTGAGGAAGTGAGTGATTAGTTGGAGTGTTTTAAGACATTGGATTGGAATGAGGAGAGAGCATTCTTTACTATTTACTTCACTGTAAAATCTAATTAATAATAAGCTATTCATTGCAAAACGTATTTATAGGCTACCAATTGATAAAGTATTAACATAAATAACATTTATGGTCAATATCTTGAACCCATACCCTGAAGTGCTCCACAAGTCCAACCAGATCACTAGCATTCTTTTTTTGCAGACATCTCACTATCTCTCTAGTGCTGTTGAAGGGGCAAGATGCAAGGCTTGTTAAATTGCTTGCCCTGCTCCTGGGTAGGCCTGGAGGCAGGACTGTCCAAGTGTTGTAGCTTGAACCACTTTCTGCAATAGCTCCATGGAAAAGCCCTAAAGATGTGATTGGCTCAATGTATATTTTTTTCTGTAATCATTTTAGACAGCAAAAGCATAGTAGTTTTTACAAGAATAGTAAACTTTCCAAATATCTTCCAGGGCTTTTAGACAATTTTACAATAGTTGTTAATAATGAATATATATATATATATATATATATATAATTTAATAATAATAATAATTGAAACTATCATGTTACAGTTATATAACAAACAACAATACATTACCTCTGCTGAGAGGTGATATGATATGGTGTATGGCACTTGCTCCTCCAGCACTATCGCCAACCAAAGTCACTCTGTTTGGGTCACCTCCAAACTTAGCAATGTTTTTCTGTATCCACTTTAATGCCATTACTTGATCCTTCATACCTTGGTTTCCTGGCTGTTCGTTGTCTTCAAAGCTTAAAAAACCTAAAGTTATAGATTAAATTGAAGGCTAAAAAGTTGAGGGTTGCAGAAGATGTATAAATTTATAGTTTTTAATCATTGTGTTTTAAAAGCTAACTATACATGTTATAGCCCTACTCTTCTGTGAAATACATCAAAAACAAATATGCATTCCTAAATATTGCATATTAATAATTCTAAAAGATAATAGACTAATTATAATATTATTGCACATATATAAATGTATGCACCTAATTATATTTTAAGCATGAAACAGGTATCACCTCCAAATATGCTTACACACTGAAAATAAATTTTGATTACATTTTAAAAGTTTTGGAGATGATTAAAAGCCTGTTCAACGTCAAAAGATTCAGTTGAAAGATTCTAATTCTAAAAACAATAATAAAAGTATCTTTTTTTTTAATACGTGACAATTCTTCTTGGTTCTAATTTTTAAAAACCAAAACTAATATTATTTTAATTTGAAGTTTTGACCTTTATCCCAGAAAATTAATATAGAATAAAATAAGGATATTAGATATTTTCTTCTGTGGTTAAAGACAAAGATTAAATTTAACTGCTAGAATTCATTATAATCTCCATAACAGTATCAGATAATTTTTTAAGGTATGGTTTTGATGTGTGAATAAACATTTCGTGGCTCAATGGTCTGATTGTTATAATTATTATAATAAAATTGTGGGTTGATGGTTGACTGTAGTGGATAATGAACATAAGGATAAGATCACCCCAACTATCCTTCTCTTCATTATCCTAATAAAACACTTTTATCACATAGAGGAGAGTTATTGTACAAGGTGTAGTTTGAAACTATTTTTAAACAGAATTTAGCCAAACCGCAAGTTTCTTCAAATGATCTACTACAGTTAACTCATTTTGATTATGTTTTAAAATGATATAGTCTGTTATCAGGAAGTAAATCTGAAATGAATGAAAATTGTTATACTTTATAAACAATGCACTGTTTATTTACAGAGAATCTCATACTTACCCATTATTCCCAGCCGGTAGTTGATTGCTACAACAACAACATCTTCATCCATAAAATAAATCGGACTTGTCATTGATTTATCACCAGCAGTGAAACCCCCACCATGGATATGAACTAACACAGGTGCTGTGTCCTTAGTCTACCAAACACCAAAAGTTATGAATTAGTGGTTTTTTATATTTATTTATTAAAATTGATAATAATAAGTTTGATATCTATATCATTATTATTATTTTATATATGGCATACTAACATTATGTGTGAATACTGAGAGATAAAGACAATCTTCTGATCCAATGACCTTAGAATTGAATGAATGCAAATTTACGTTGTACTGGATGCAAAAAGGCCCATTTTCTGTGGCATTTCTGATGCCAGTCCATGGTTCTGGTTCCTCTGGGGACTAGAACAAATTGTATTAAAGTAAACTTATTTTGTAAGCAAGAACTATTTAAGCTGAAATTTTACATTATGAAGCATAATTCAGTTAATAAATTTGATAGTTTTCAATAGATGATTACTCCAATATCCAGTATAATAAGGTAATATTTAAAATCAAACTTTTAATGTATATTGATCTTTAAAAAAATAGTTTTAAATTCATGTATTTTTTTTTTTTTTTTTTTTTTTTTGTTCTTCCCTACCTCGCCTTTTAGGCTATACGGGATTTTCCCGGGCCGGGGGGTGAGGGCGGGGAAATTTAAAATCCCCTCCGGCACCGGGACGCGAACTCGTACTTTTTATATCATCTCAAATCTCTGTTATCCGGTTGCCAGGCAACTAGCGGTGATGTTACACACGCTTTAGCCTATTCGGCCACCCTGCCCCCAAAAAATTGGTAGGGTTGACCGTGATACACACGGCCTATGCCTGAGTTTATGTATTCCATCCTTGTCAAGGGGAGTGCTAAACTTCTCTCCTTTTTTACTACACAAATTCATGTATTGTAGGTCTTTCTTTTGTATACTTAACACAGTTCAGTTTCGTGTATTTTGAAGTAACATAGCTATTCAGCTTCAGCCCGAAAGCTCCCCACTCACCAGTAGATCCGCCTGTGCTAGACAGAACAAGGAGAAAAGGAAGCTCCAGTCTTCCAGATGACTGGTCAACTGCTTTAAATGGTTCATTTCAATATTTCCGTCACATTTGGCCATCATTTATGTCGAAAAAAAATATTGAAAAATAAGTTAGTTTTGTCGAATTTTTAGCAATGTATATAGTTCTTTAAGGGAGTTGCTAATGCCTGTCAAACCATAAATATGTCATTTTGAAAAAAAAAAAATCAGTTTTTTTCTCTTAGAGATTTATGGACTAAATAGTGTGGGTAAATAATTCTATTGTTCACTTTTGTTACATTTGACTTAATTCTCAATATTAAATTGAATGGTGTTGGCGGTGATATCTAAACTTACAAGGCTTAGGGATTATCTAGGGTATGGGAAATTATGAAGAGAGGATTTTGCCTTTCATGGAGATTTTTTTCTTCTTATGCCAAAGTCGTTGGTCATTCGGCCATCCGACATCTTTCTGCCCAATATAATTTAGATTTTTTAAATATATATATTTAAAAATGTCTTTTCTCTTATGACCGTCAAGGCAGGATATGTGTCTCAATGGTCTGCATCCATTCTTCCTCGATGACACAATTTACAGCTAGGATCCTCAGCGACGCCTATCTTGTGGAAATGACTCGGCAGATAGTCGTGACCAGTGACCAGGCGGAAACAGGATACTACATTTCTTTTCGGCAGTTCAGCTGGGATCGGATTATCTATCAAACACTCATAGATTTTCCCTTCTACCTAGTCCAAACTTTTCTTACTTCTTCCTTCACTACCATCTTTACCATTCGCGTATAGAATTAGCACTTGATGGACGTTCATTGATGTTCGTAACAGCGAGGATGGCTGCTTGAGAGTCAATGAAGAGAACAGCGCTCTGGTCTCGCCTTCTAGACAATGTTCTTAAGGCTATGAGAATCGCCGCTATCTCACCGTCGAAATTTGTTCCTTCTTCACCCACCGCAGCGCCGATTTGGAATTCCCTCGAGTAAACTCCTGCTCCAGCATTTTTAACGGCTGATTCAATTACTATACAAGTGATAGTGGATGATCCCCAGAGATTCCAGAATAATATTCTCGGCCAATATCAACATCTAGTTCCTCGAGGAAGCTCCAAATGTCAAAAAGATTATTTAATAAAACTTAGATTTTGTAGTAAAAGTATGAAATGAAAACATTTGCATTAAAAATATTTACTCTTATTTTCTACACTATTTTCCCAACGTGATATCAATTTTTTGGTTTGGGAACTGAAAAATTCAGGTTTTGTGAAGAAATTAAGCCATAAAATATGTTTTTAGTAAATATGTTTTTAAAATATTAAATATGAGTTTTAGGTTGATAAGTAGTTTAAAAAGTAACAATCTTAGATAAAATTAGGATAGCAGCTACAGGTGCCTTTGGGCGCAGAGTTTTCTTGGAGAAAATCAACTTTTTTTCAACTGATTTTAGGCTAATTAAACAAATTACAATACATGAAAAACGTCTATTAACATTATATATAATAGATAAACAATATAATATAATTTTTACCTATATTTGAGATCCATTTTCTGTGAAATGTAGGAAAGGATACACGAATTGGAAGTTGACCAGTTCAGAGGTGCCCTGTCCCCAAAGTCGATGGCTCAAGAATCTACTCCCTCCTTTCCCCTCCCATGATATTTTATAACTCACCTTTTCTTAAAAACAGAGCAAGCTAAGAAAAAACTGCAGATCATATACAATTCCATTTGCTGATTATAAACAGTTCCATGTTTTTCCCTTGTCCTTTAGACCGAAAATTCATTACCTCTCTGCAAAAATTTTGATGGTGCAATGCCATGAAACCCTCGTCTGGGCACCCCTCAACCAGATACAAAATGATATCGACAACAAATGAACGATCTAAATAAATGCAATAGGTTCCATAGATGGCGAAAGTTAGCGAAAAAATGAAAAACTATTAAAAGTCGGGACCTGTGCATGCCAAACTGAAAGATCTATTGCTTTTATGGATGGAAATAGAGAATTATGGAAGGACAGAATGATCGTGTTGAAGAAATACGGAACTTACCCTGAACCTGAGTTCCTCAACAGGAGGCTTGGCGAAGGGTATCCCGGTGTATGATAGGTACGATCGACCAGATCTTGATCTTGAAGTGAAGCCGCGGACAGACCCAGCCGTGGTGTCCACAACTGGAGCATCGTCGGCAAGAGCGGCTATTGCGAACAGCAAGAAAACTCCAACCTCACCCGTGATCATCCTCCTAGAATGGTGTTGATGGTAAAGGAACTATGACTCTTATCTTATCGGTCATTGAACTTCCTATTCTTTACAAACAGCACTGCTGCTCAAAATTCATCTGAATGTTGAATAATAATCGTGAATTAAATCTTCGATACTCACTCGGACTTAAAAAAAAAGTTTATTTAGTAAAAAGTTTACAATGAACAAAATATATATGTTACAACAACTACACTAACTATGGCATCTAACTATCAACTATGAGTGACAATGTCTGACTACTTGCTAGGCGGGTAAAGGAGGGGTATTTATACTGAGTCAGGAGAAATATGCTGACTCTAGAGATTTATCATTATTTGGCTACCTTAAGTCCTCCCTTCTGAAGTTTTCGAGCTCCATGAGAGAAGAAGTGGATGAACAGTGTTGGCAGATGTAGATGGCTGGAGTACAAGTTCTTCCTTTGGATTTGATGTACTATCTACTTGCCTTTGTTGGCTAAGAATACTTGAGGGTGTAAACATTGTATAACATGAAATGAAGACAATACCTCCGTAAATACATAATTATCTCTAGTATGGTTAACAATTTCTTTCTTATCACTTAATTTAATAATAGCTGTTTCTGGTAAAATTACTGGATAGGATGAATTATTTTGAATAGTAATATGTTTAATCTTAAAACTAACAAAAACATCAATTGTTTCTAGATAAGATATATAAGGTTCTAAATTGCTAATAGTTGTGGTTAAACAATTACTTAAATTATTATGAACAGAATTATTTATACATGTATCATTAATTTTATAAATTTTATTACAATAATAATTAGTTTTTATAAAATTACATTCTCCTTTATACACCTCTGCGTTATTATATAATACCATTTGATTATTTGCAATTGTTGTTATAATATGATTATTTTTTGTTACTGGAACAGATAAGAAATATAAAGTACTAAAGGTTTTAGCTTTAGTAGGTAACTGTATCATATAATGGATAATATTATTTTTAATCATGCAAGATATTTTACTTGTGAGCCATAATGTCTCAAGATCAGAGCTTACAAATTCTGAATTATTATTTATATCAATATTTTTTAAAATACTGGAATGTGTTATTCCAAGTTTACACATTTCTAATGAATGATTAAACTTAAAATTTTCAATGTCCATGATTACAATAGTGATATAGTTTAGAATGTCGTATAATTCATTTAAATGGTTTGTCAATGTGGTCTTGTCGACAGTATTTATTAAATTGGTTATTTTATTGCTATTAGTATTAATTAATCTAATGTCTTTTTGAAATGTTTTTACTAAATCTTTATTAATTTTAATTTCTTGAGCTATATTATGTTCTATACGATAGTTGTTTTCTTCTAGAGTGGTAATGACCTTATCATAATGCGCCTTGTCATCAGAGTCTAGGTTTCCAGTAAGCCAGTTGATTGCGCTTCCTATGCCGTTTATAAGGCCTCTTTTGCTTCTATTACGTGGAGCATCAATAATATAATCAACTTTATCTTTCAAAAATATTAATTGTTTGTAAATTAAATCATATTTGCTATGTTTTTAAAATTACTTAAATCTCTTTCTAATACTGATATTTCATTTGAAATCAGAAAAATTTAAATAATGTATGATTGTTTTTTATTTTTGTATTACCTTGGAATCAGATAATTTAAACGTAACCAGTCCTGAAGAATGTTCTGGATTGATTATTTCATATTGTCGCGATGTCTGAATCATCAGAATCAATATCCATATTATCTTCATCATCTGGAATATGATAGTTTCTTTTAGTTTTTCGTTTTCTTTGGATGTTATCTGCATGCACCTTAAGGTTTGTATTTTTATTCTTAAATTTATTCACTTGTCTAAATGGATTTTCATGTTTATTTCTAGTTCTAACCTTTATATAAGGTTCATCTTCAATTACTTCATTTTCTCTATCCTTATTTAAGGATCCAGTTCTTACTTCCTTTTCTTTTTCAATTTTATTCTTTATTTGCTCGTGAACTAAATTTAATTCTTTATGATATTGATTAATTAAGTCTTCGTAAATGATTGATAATTTCTTTTCAGGATCTTTTATTGCACCAAAGGTGATTTCATTTGGCGATAATTTAAGTTTTTGATTTAATGAATTGTTATTATAAGTGATAAGAGCTAAATTTAAATTTGTGTTTAAATCTCGTTTTTCATCATTATTTTTGTAAGTCTAATGATTTCTATCAATGTAGAATGAGCTCAGTTCATGGGCCCAAGAGAATTAGGATGATTAGGAGTTGTATAATAAGCTTCGATTCCTAAGCTTTCTAATAAGTTTTGAACTAAGTTGTTTTTATATTCTTTTCCATTGTCCATTTTTATTCTTATTGGATTTGGGAATAAACTTAATTTTTTTTGTAATTATTTTAAATATATTAATAGTATTACATGCTGTGGTTATTTCAGCATACATTTTTTTTTAAAAATGTATCTATAAGAGTTACAATATATTTCTGTTCGAAGTGTAGAGTATCTATCATCAACTCCTCGAATGGTCTCACAGGTGAAATTTTGATTTGATAGGTTTCCTATAATATTTAGTCTTTCTGCAGATGTTACATAAATTTATAAACTTGTTAATTTCTTCTTTCATCCTAGGAAAATAATAAGTCCTTTTCATTTTTTCAAAAGTTTCTAAAACTCCTCTGCGGAATGATTTACCTGCATGATAATTATTTATCAATTCTGTTTGTTCTTCTTTCGTTTCTACATTTAAGACTTCGGTTTTATATCTTTTAAATTTGACATTAGGGAATTTCTCCATATCTTTAGAAGATAAGATAAGGAATATTCCTTCATAATCACTTCTAACCGTTTCTACGTTAGGTTCACAATAGACTCCATAAATTTTGTTTGGTTTTAATATTTCAATTAAAGATTCTTCTAAGTCATTACTCCAAGGGTATGCGGTTTCTATAAAATATATATTTTTACCGAATGTTTTTTCTAGTCGTATTTGTTTTTTTCTTCTTAGGAAAAAAAATTGATTTTTTTCTATGTTGATCGGTTTTGATTCATCAACAATAAATATTTGTTCATAACTACTTTCTTGAGAATGGTTGGGTATTTAAACTTTCATTATCGAAGTTGGGATTATTTAATTCATTTTCTAATTGAGCATTATTATTTTCTAAGTCGATGATTTTTTCTTCTTCGATTTCCATTTTGTTGTCTTCTAACATATTTTCATCAAAATCAAAAACATCTGGAGATGTCAATGGCATTTCAGAGGTTTCTCCGAGTATTCTATCAAGTTGTAATGCTGAATCTTCATCTAAATCAAGATTTGTCATTGCGTTAATTGTCATTCTGCTTAGAGCGTCTGCAGCGAAGTTAGTTTTGCCTTCAATATATTTTATTTCAAAATCGTATTCATGTAAAAAAAATATCCATTTCATTATCCTGGTATTATTATTTTTCATATTGAATAGCCACTGCAAGGGTTTATGGTCAGTCTGAATCCAAATTTTGCTCCATATAAGTAGGGTCTAAAATGTTTTGTAGCGTATAAGACTGCCAAAAGCTTCTTTTTCGATAGTGGAATATTTTTGTTCCGTGTCATTTAGAGTTCTTGAGGCGAACGGTATGGGGTGTTCCCTCCCTTCTGTAACTTGGGAAAGTACAGCTTCAATTGCTACATTACTTGCATCTGTTGTTACTATCATTGGTATTTCAAAATTTGGATATGTTAATATGGGTGCATTCATTAAATGAATCTTTAATTTTTCAAAGGCATTCTTATAATTTTCTGGTATGATGTTTTCTTTATCCTTAAGTTGCTGTGTTAAAGGTTTTGCTATATTTGCATAGTTGTGGATACATTTTCTATAGTATCCCGTTAAACCACGAGATTGCCTAATTTCTTTTTCGATTGTTGGTAATGGGAATTTAGAAATTGCCTCTAATTTTGATGGATCCGTTTTTATACAATCTGGAGTTAAAATATAACCTAAAAATGAAGCTAACTCTTAAAAAATTCCGTTTTCTCTAACTGAATAACAAGGTTGTGTTTAGAAAGGGTTTCAAAAATATTTTCTAAATGTTGTAGATATTCTTCAACGGTTTTTGAATATATTATAATATCATCAACGTAGACTAAGGTATTCGGAATATTAGCAATTATTGAATTCATCGCTCTTTGAAATGTCGGTGGAGCATTGCAAAGACCGAAGGGCATTCTGACGAACATAGTGTCCGTTTTCTGTTGATAAGGCAGTCTTCTCTATGGAATCGTTTGTCATTTCTATTTGGTGAAACCCTGAGTCTAAATCGATGGTAGATAATATTTTAGATCCTTGTAATTTATTCAGTAAATCTTCAATGTTAGGGAGAGGAAATTTATCTTTAATTGTTTGGTCATTTAATTTTCTATAATCTATCACCAATCTATATTTCCTCTGGCCGCTAGCATCTAGTTTTTTTGGCACTAATATTGGTGGTGAATTATATGGTGAATTGCTTTCCCTTATTATGTTTTGATTTAACAACTTTTTAATTTGATTATTCATTTCCTCTCTAAGTTGAGGTGCTACTCTATAACTTCTTGAATAAACAGGTTTATCTGTTTTTAAATTAACGTTACATTTTAATAAATTTGTAGAAGGTATCATACATTACATTACAAACAAATGCTTGTTTGCTCACTAGTTTTATTTATTTTAGGATATTTTCCAATTAAATTTATTAACTTTTCCTTTGTTTTTTCTTCAATATGGTTTGTTCTTACCATATTAATAATAACATTTGTATCCTTTATTAAGTTTACAATATAATTATCTTCAATTATTTTTCCATTTATAATTAGTTTTCCTCCAATTTTTAATTCAATATCTTCTCCAATATCTATGTTTACGCCTATTTTTTTTCATAGACTTCATACCTAATAAAAAATTATATCCTTCGCAAAAATCATAAATTTTAAAAGTAACAAATATTTTATCATTTAACTCTAACTTCGGTTCTATATCCA